ATATTAGCGCCTTTAGAGACGTTAAGATACAGAATTAATCGGACCCGAACGCTAGCGTATAGAGCTATTCTTCGAAAAGAAAGACCTTACGGTATCATTTATAAGAGGCCTAGGCAAAGTATAGCTCTACATATTTATACGCTAATAAGGTTTTATTATTAGCGTATACGAGCTATACCGTATATTCATAGAACTATTTCCTAAAGACGTGGCGGTAAGGTATAAGGAGATACGCTACCGTCGAAAAGGCTAGATAACGCTAGGACCTAATTTTATTTAGTCTATAGATACGTACGATAAGTTATTACCCTTCGGCTTTAAAATATACGCAGGGATAAACACGTACTTAAGGTTTATAACTTAGTTCTACGTGGGCGTATCCGCGTATATATCTAAAAATATACTCGCTTAGTATATAAAGGTTATTTAGTAAGTTAGCTTTATCCCGTAATTAATCCGTTCCGACCGAGGCAAAGAAATAACGCTTATAGCCGGCGGCCACTAGTTTCTTTCCGCCGGCTCTCGTATAAAGATAAACGCTACTAGATAAAAGGTTCTAATTAAGTTCAAAGATTACTAGGTATTTAGTAAAAGTATCTATAGTTAACGGATTAAATTATAATAGAATAGACTTTACTAATCTCGCGCGGCTTTTTAGCGTGTAAGTATCTAGTATTTTTTTCTATTTTTAGCACTTTTTACTAATTCTTCTAGGAATTCTTTATTTATCTTTCCGAACACAGCCTTTTTAATTCTTATTCTATTATCGATAGAATTACCCTTCTCTATATCTATATACCTCTAATTCGGACGGATTTTACCCGTTTTATATAAGTATATAACTACTATATAATTTATACCTAACTATCTACGCTATATATCATAAGCGGAAAGCCCTAGACCCTTTACTACCAGAGTAGTCCTAACCTTTATATTCGGGTCGATCCTATACGGCTTCGTATATTAGAAAACGTTCTTATAGATAAGCTAGTAAGCCTTAACTAATATCTTCTATAAATAATAATGGAAATTTATAGTAGTATAGAAGCCACGGCGATAAGTCTACTAGAAATTCTTACTATAAAAGGTAAGCAGTATCCTTCGCTACCTTTATACGAGTATATACGAAAGGGGTTATACTTATACGATTAGGAGAAGAAAAAACCCGTTCTTATAATACTTTCTACACCACGGGGTAGTATTACTTCGGTTAAAGAGTTTTTCAGAAATAAGGGGATTAGAACTAAGGATTTAATAGCAGATAAAATTATAAGTAATAAAGACTATAGCAAATAAATAATTTAAATTTTCTACCTTCTAACTATTTATAAATATATTTACCCTATTAATCTATTTCGCCTTCTACTTTTAAGATTATACGCTTCCGTCTAGCCGAAGATAATACCGTTCGGTCGCGTAGATCTATTATTAAGGCCGGTATAACAACTTTACGAGATTAGCGCGGCTTTTATTCCACCGGTTCCTTATTTTCCTCTTTTAGTTCTACTTATTCGTCGTTTTCTTACTTTAGTTCTATCTATTCCTCTTTTTCTTTTTTTAGCTCCGGCTAGCTAGTATTAGCTAGCTATAATCCTTTTTACTCTTTATCGGTAGCCTTTCCTTTACCTTTATTCTTTTCCGCGCGAGGCCGCTTAGTGATTTCTTTCTTCACCGTAATTAGAATATTATCTTCTTCCTCCGGCTCTTTTTATATAGTTATTTTTCGGCCCGCGCGCTTACGAGAAATATTAGAGTTAACTTAGTCGGCTTCGACTTCCGTTATACGAAGAAAGCTAAGATAAACTTCTTTTAAAAGTCTAATTCCAGACTCGCGTAGTAGTATACGTAAAGTGATAGTTATATATATCTCGCTTCGATAAAAGTCGACTTTTTACGGGTTCTTATTATTATAGGGGAAAACTGTAAGGTCTTGGTCGAACTATTCTTTCTTCGTGTTAAACTATATAATAATATAACGTATAAGATCTTAATACGTGGGTAATACTAGGTCGAGTAAAATAGTAACTCGGCCTATAACCTTTTATCCGAGTATATTTATAAATTTTTAAAAGGAGATACCGCCGCTTAAGACTATATAGTACTCGCCGCTATATAACGTAATACTAATTTCCTTTATCGGCGTGGGTTACTTTTCCTTATTAGTTTACGCGATACTAACTTTTCGCTCCGTCTTACTAAGCCGCAGCGCCCGTATTAGTATTTAACCTTACCGGGCTCTAGGCGCCTGCACGGCCCTGGTTTCCGTCTTAGGCTTTTATTCCCTTCTAGGTAGTGTTAATTCAGTTAAATCAATAATAGACCTATCCGAAAAGACCGGTGAAGTTTCTTTTTTAACTCGGCTAGTGGTGTTAGGAGATAAACTATAGCTTAGGCTGACCGTCTAATAGGGATTTCGATTAAATAGAAGTGTATATTTAATATTCAGAATAGGGCAGAGTAAAAAGACGTCCTCCGTTATTATATTGATAGTAAGATTATCGCGTTAAATTATTTATAATAGAAAGATACTGCCAGGAAGTACCGTAAATGCTAACGCGATGTTATATAATAGCTTTTAAGATAATTGTATTTATACGGGCTTTGGATATAAGAGCCAGTAAGTACCTAGGGTATTCATATATACGAATATATACTACAGCGTACGGGTGTTTTTTTCGTGCCTATAGAGTGTACCTACTAAATTTATGGGGACTTTTTCGAGTTATTACAGTGTCCCCTGCGGCATGCGGTAACCACCTCCCCGGAGCCTGGCTCCTCCTCGTCCAACTCCCCCACCAGCGGGGACCCCACCCAGACCCGGTCCGACGACGGGCCCCAGAGCCGGGAACTGGCCCAGGACCAGCGGTCCGCGTAAGTGCATTTCCCTGATCTACCTAAGGTACGCAACAATATGGCACGTTGACAGTTGACTGACTCTGGAGCACTTTAATACAGCGAAGAGAGCGACGACGGCGCTGGCCCTGACGAGTCCTGGGTAGGCCAGGCTCTGGGAATCTGGGAGGGGGTCAGCCACATGCTGGTGGGGTCGGACGGCGAGGAGGAGCCGGATAACGGGGGGTGGTCACTGGAGGTAGGGGTGGGGTTTTAGGGGGCGGCGGCCCTCGTGGCGGTGTTTGTCGCCGTCATGTATAAATAGTTAGCGGGGGGGGGGAGCCCATGTGCTCCTCCCAGGTATTATTACACAGCGTTTTTTTTAACGGGATATTTTCTGCTTTTGATATGAAATTCTGAGTAAATCGACTTTCTCTATCCTAAGGACGACGACGAGGAGGGCGATAACGACGAGGGCGACAACGACGACAACAATAGTCACTGTTTAGGGTCTGTCAATTGGCAGTGCTATACCTTCCAAATCATTCCTTCTGTCCCGTCGTCTTGGAACTTGGAATGCGGGAAAGTTGACGATTTTCGACGGTATTATGTAGCTATAGGAGGGGAAAGGGGGAAAGGGGGAAAGGGAAAAAAGGGGGAAAAAAGGGGACAGCAGAGAATCGAGTAGTCGTAGTAACAAGACGACAAAACAAAACCAGGCGACAACTCGGTTCGTTGTTCATCAGTCGAGTCCATTAGACCTGTCTGAGCCCTGTCAAGTCTACGACGAACGCTTCCGCTGCTCCATGACTCGCAATACATCCTCCGCATTGTTAACGTCGCCCTTCCTCCTCTTCGGACCCCTCTTCCGCTTGGTCTTGCCGCCCTTTGTCCCTCCTCCCTCGTCGTCATCATCGTCCTGTCCCCATTCCGACAGTTTCACCTTGGACTCGTCAAAATCCTCCTCGTCCTCCAGCCGGCTCGTTCCAAACCCGAGATCCAGGTCCTCGTCATCGCGCCTCGCCGACTCGAGCATCTTCCGCCGCCGCTCTGCCCGTTTCCGCGCCTCCTCTTCGTCGATTTCGTCTTCGCCTTCGTCTTCGGTCGCTTTCCTCTTTTCCCGCGCCGCGCTGAGTTGCGCTGCCTTTTTGAATGCTGCTTGGATGGCTGGATCGGATAGGGACGGGGCGTCCCGCTTGTGTGCCGATAATAGCTCCGTCCTGGATCCTTTGAAGTAGTCTTTGGTCGTTGATGGTTTGGGTGGAGGCAGCATCCCTTCTTTCGATGTGTCTTCCGCCTCGCCTTCGCCCTCGTGCTCACCCTTGCCCGTCTTGTCCTTGGTGCTTGCCTCCTTCGCTTTTTCCGCCTTCTCCTTCTCCTCATCATCCGAGTCCGAGTCCGAATCCGAGTCTACCCCGGCCAGCGGGTCGTAGTCATCCCCCGCGTCCGAGAAGATGTCTTCTTTGTCCTCTTCTCCCGCCGCCGCCGCCGCCGCCGCCTCTTGTTGCTTCCTATAGAACTCCGGCACTTCCATACCGAGAGGCTTGGCCTTATTGCGAGGCATCATGACCTCCCGTCGTCGTTCGGTGTCGTCCCCTTCCTCCCCCTGCGCTTGTGTTCGCACCTTGCGGACCATGCGCTTTTCGTGCCCGTCTTCGTCCACGATGATCAGCACTTCGCGACCCTTGCCGTCCCTCTCGATCCTGGTCCCCGCTTTCTGCTTGGCGCCGATCTTACGGAACTTGTCGCCGAGGCCTGACTCTTTCGCCGCCTTGGCCGCTTCCCGTGCCGCCTTCATCTGGGCGATGATCTGGTCGCGTGTTCGTTGCTTACCCGGTGCCAGGGCAGCCAGTGCTAATTGTCCCTTCTTCTTCTTCTCCGTCTTCTCCTTGGTGACGGCCTGCACGTCTCGCTGGGCCACCAGGTCGAGCTCCTCGTCCACGTCGGGCGGAGGCTCCTCCTCTTCAGGCTCGGGTTCGGGCTCGCCATCCTTGTTGTCGCCGGTGCTGCTGCTGCTGCTGCCGTTCCCGAACACATCTTCGCCCTTGCGTATCCTCTCCAGTAGTTTGCGGTCTAGTCCCTTGACCAAGTGCGTGCTCGACAGGTCCCCTCCGGCAATCTCGTCCACTTGCTTGTCGAACGTCTCCCGGTCGATGTCCCCCGCCTTGAGGAGTTCTTCCAGCGCTTGGACCCTCCTTGCTCGCTCGTCTTCCGCTTCTTTTTCTCGTTCTTTCGCGCGGTCGACGTAGCCCTGGGCCAGGCGGGAGCCCTTGGGCGCGGACGTCTTGAATTGTTTTTGCTGTCGGGTCGCTCGGTCCCGCGCTGCGAGTTGGCGGAGGAAGTCGGATTGGCCGGTGCCTATGGAGCGTCTTTAGGGAAGTAACTGTTGTTAGTTGGTCTGCACATTGGCACAAAGACTGCGACGCAAAAAAAAAAAAAAAAAAAAAACAACAACTAAAAAAACTAAAAAAAAACCCAGGGCTTCGAGGCGCAGAGAATAGGATATAAGATGAGAAACGTACGGTGTCATTGGTATGCTGGCCCTCTGTCGCGATCCCAGTGCTCCCGGTGTTGCACTGCCGGAACCAAACGACGGGCTAGTCTTGGAAGTGGTGCCTTGACTGGGCTTGGGGGAATCAACCCCCAGAAGGCGTCGAAACTGTTCATTATTCATGTTGGAAGGGTTTGTCGCATGATGAAGGCTTGCAGGTTGAAGTTCAACTGAGCTGTGCTTCTGTCTGATTCCTTCTGATGTGAAGTAAGGTACCTTAATTAGGTACCGACCGTGATGGATGCGATGGATCGGTTGCTTAGCTCAGCAAGTCACGGGATGACGTGTGGATTTCGTACAGTCGCGTCGATCTATGCAACCCCACCCAACGCGGTCCCAGACCAGGCGACCTTCATCCATGCTCACACTCATCCCAGGGAGTTTATCGCCACTGAGATCTCTGCCTCGTTGCGACCTCTCACAACTTCCCACAGTGTCATACGATTCTAGTATGAGAATGTAATCGAGCGTTATTCTCGACCGACCATGAACTACGACATTCTCACATGGCAGAACCCGACCCCTTAGCCATCCGAGATGGGCAGTCGTCTGGAAAAGAATTCCTCTCAAGTGAGGAAGCGGATCGAGAACCATGCCTTCACCGACGAAGAAGGCGAAGAGTACGAAGGAAGCGAGTTTGGAGGGTTCGGCGACTACTTCAGGAGGAAAAAGCTCAAGCTGCAGAATCTGGACGCAGGCCTCCGCGCAGCGTCTTCCGACAAGCCGCAGATCTTCAAGGGCATCGTAGCTCATGTCATGGGCTATACCCAACCTCCATTACATATGTGAGTCGGCACCCGTCACATCTTCGCCCTCTCACCGTGGTGTTGGATTTTATCACCAACACTTGTTTAGACTACATCGCCAACTCGTGCAACATGGAGCCGGCTTCCTTCAGTATCTCGACTCCAAGACGATGGCGACGCATATCATAGCGTCTGCCCTGCCGCCAAAGAAGTCGCTAGACTATAGCCGGTACAGAATCGTGAAGCCGGCTTGGGTGGTGGATTCCATTGAAGCCGGCAAGCTCTTGCCCTGGACCGACTACCGCGTGGTGGAAGAAGGCGCACGACAGAAGGTTCTCAAGTTTGATCAGGGCAGCCTATCTAGCCAGGCGACTCCGAATGGCAAGCGGGGATATCGGGAACAGAGCGACAACAGCTTTTACACGAGTCAACTGAACGGGCCATCCGGCGTCACGTCTGTTGCCACGCCCTCTCGCCAGCCTGCAGGTCCCAGTTTCGAGACGAGTCCACCTCCGCCCACTGAGAAATGGCCCAGCGCAAAGAAGAAATCCTTGGCTGACATGGAAGATATCGATGATGATTTCGACGATGCCATTTTCGAAGACATGCATCCCGGCGTAGACATGGCGCAAGGCAATACCAAGCCGCCCAGTGGACAAATGTCTTCCGAGGTGGTTACATCTGCAGCACCTCATTCTAACGTCACACCAAATGTCGACAGGATAGCAGAATTAGAAAAGAAAGCGAGCGGGAAGAAGCCCGAACAAATGACGCCGGAAGAACACAATGCTTGGCTGCTCTCCGATCCCCGCATTCGAAAATCATCCACGGCCAACCCCGACTTTCTCAAGCAGTTCTACTCAGAGAGTCGCCTTCACCACCTCTCGACCTGGAAAGCGGAGCTGAAATCTCGAATGCAGCGGCTGGCAAAAGAGAAAGAGTCGTCCGCCAAGGTGGCGAAAAGGAAACCGGGCGCTCGGCGCTATGTCCTCCACGTGGATTTCGACAGCTTCTTCTGTGCGGTATCGTTGAAGAAACACCCTGAGTATGCAGAGAAACCCGCAGCGGTCGCCCACAGCGCCGGGGGCGGCTCCGAGATTGCAAGCTGCAATTACCCCGCGCGCAAATTCGGGGTGAAGAACGGCATTTGGATGAAGAGAGCCCAGGAGCTTTGCCCGGAGCTCAAAGTCTTGCCCTACGATTTCCCGGGGTATGAAGAGGCGAGCCGGCACTTCTACCAAGCCATCCTGGAAGTCGGCGCCATTGTGCAGAGTGTTAGCGTCGACGAGGCGCTGTTGGACGTGACCGGTGTGATTTACGATGCCGCGGGCTCTACCGGCACCGGCGTGGACGAGGGAAGTGTGTGGAGAGAACAGGCGGCCGCTGATGAAATCGCCCTCCATCTTCGGGACACCATCAAAGTCAAAACGGGGTGCGACGTCTCTGTTGGTATCGGCGGCAATATCCTGCAGGCCAAGGTGGCGCTCAGACGAGCCAAACCTGCGGGACAATTTCAGCTTAAGCCGGAAGCGGTTCTCGACATGCTGGGCGATCTCGAGGTGAAGGATCTACCCGGCGTGGCATACAGTATCAGCGGCAAGCTTGAAGAGATCGGGGTCAAGTTTGTAAAGGATATCCGGCAGGTCTCGAAGGAGAAGCTTTCGTCGACACTGGGCCCCAAGACGGGGGAGAAGTTATGGGAATACGCCCGCGGCATCGATCGTAGCGAGGTCGGAGAACAGCCTCCCCGGAAATCAGTGTCTGCGGAGGTGAACTGGGGCATTCGCTTCATCAGCCAGGCGGAAGCGGAGGAGTTCGTCATGAACCTCTGCAAGGAGCTGGAGCGCCGACTGGTCAACGAGCAGGTCAAAGGCAAGCAGCTTACCATGAAGATCATGAGGCGGTCACTCGATGCGCCCTTGGACCCGGCGAAACACCTGGGCCATGGGAAATGCGATACCTTCAACAAGAGCGCCGTTTTCGGGGTCGCGACGAACAGCGCAGAGACGATCGGGAAGGAAGCCGTGTCGATACTTCGGTCCTTCAAGTTCAGTCCCGGGGACCTGCGAGGTCTGGGCCTGCAGTTGACCAAACTGGAACCTGTCAAGGCGGGATCCTCATCTGCCGTCGACGGAAGCCAAACACGGCTAGCGTTTCCCACGTTCAATGCACCGCCCTCGGCGAGAAAGTCTCGTGGCGATCCGATCGAAGAAGCGGGAGAACGACAACCTATCGCAGACAGCCGGTCGTCGATCAAACGAGCGAGATCTGACCCAATCGACCCAATCGAAGACTCGGAAAGCAGCCCAACGAGGAAGAAGAAGAGGACATCTCCAGCTCATGGCATGGCTCAGGACCCCATCGCAGATGATCCGCTCACGCCTCGCAGACCGAGGCAGGCGGCTGTCCATCCGGCCCTGGCGATTGCCAAGGCCGGAGAGAACGACGCAAGAGCCACGACGCCGCTGAATATTACAGGCACGCAATTCACCCTTCCGTCGCAAGTCGATCCCGCCGTTCTCGCAGAACTACCCAGCGACATCAGGGCCAAACTCCAAGCGCGGCCCCAGCCTCAGCCGCGGCCACAATGGTTCGCCAGGCAGGAGTCCCCCGTGTCCAGATCACGAAGCGACAGCCCCGCCGTCCTAGACGAGCTCCCTTCGCAGGTCGACCCGGAAGTGTTCAACGCCTTGCCCGACGACATGAAAGCCGAGGTGCTCGCGTCGTATGGGCGAAGACCCGCCGGGCCGAGCGCGCCACCGCCACCGCCACCGCCACCGCAACAACAACAACAACAACAACAACAACAACAACAACAACAACAACAACAACAACAACAACAACAACAACAACAACAGTCGCCCCGCCGAGACAGGCAGATGCAACCGAGGAAGCCGACGACGCCCACGAAACGGGGAGGGGGAGGCATCAGGGGCATGTGGAGCAAAACGCGCGAGCGGCAGCAAGACGCGGCCGCACGCCGCACGCAGACCAGCTTGGTTCCCATCCGAAGACGGAACCGTCACGGCGGCGGGGCAGACGGTGCGGGACCGGCGACGGAGGAAGAAGAGCCGGAAGAGCTGGATCCCGAAATCCTGGCCGAACTGCCCGAGGACGTCCGGCGGGAGGTGTTGGAAGATCATCGGCGCAGGCGCCTGGCGCGGAAATCGGGGCTGAATTTCCAGCCTGCGCCGGGACGACGTCGGCAGGTGGGGGCGGAGGCGGACGAGGGGCGGAGGCGGGGGCCGAGGACGCTCCGGTTTCCGGCGCCGCCGCGGAGGATCTCGTTCGCTGGGACGGGGGGGGAGGTGAAGGACATGCTCGAGGCGTGGCATGGGCAGTCGAAGGACGATGGGCCGCACAGGGCGGACGTGCAGGTGTTTGAGAAGTATCTCGGGCGGGTGGTGCTGGAGGAGCGGGATATGGATAAGGCCGTTAAGTTGGTGCAGTGGCTCGAGTTCCTCGTTGGGGCGGACCCGTCTGACGGAGTTGGGAAGCAGGTGTGGAAGCAGGCGGTTGGAGAGGTCAAAGAGGAGGTGCAGAAGGCTGTGAAGGAGAGGGGGCTGGGACCGGTGCACTTTTGAAGGCGTGTTTTTGCTGCATGGGAGGTTTAGGAAGCACGACGTTAGGATACGATACCCCTCGAGATTTAGGTGTTTTCTTTTTTTTTTTTATGATTGTCTTTTTGTATTGTATTGTGCAATTGATGTCGTACAGCAGTAAATATTGGTTCCACCAAAGATAGGAGAGAATGTGCCGTGTGGCCAAGATCATTCGTCAGAGCATGCACTTGGTTGGGCATCTCGGGTATCTGGGAAAAGAAATGAGAATGAAAAAGAGACAAAAAAAGAAGAAAGAAATGCAGACGGAAAACGCCATCGCTCGCTCTCCCATTGCAGACGCCTCAACTGAAGACAGACGTAAAGATGACCATACTACCAGCAGCCAGCAGTCCGCCCATCCAAGAATCTTCGTCCACAACCGCAACGTTCAAAGCAGGTGAACAGAAACCGCCACGGCAACCCCCAGCGTAACTAGCAGCGGAGTCCACGCAGCGGCAGCAGCGCCGCTGACCGCGTACAGAGTGATGCGCATATTACCGCCGCAGATGGTATCCGCGTCGCCCGCGCAAGCGAGGTCGCACTGGCCATCGTCCACGGTCCGGCTCAGATCCGAGACGAGCTGGGCGCACCAACATTCACTGGGAGTGCGCGAGGATGAGTGTTAATAAAATAGAGGGGAGAATGAAAGGGCGGGGGAGACGTCAGTTCATACCGCGAATACTGCAGCCCCGCATAGCGATACTGTCTTGTGCCCGTTTCACCGCCGGAAGCGCAAAAGTCGAGACACATGGGCACGGTCATGCCCTGCTCGTCTACCAGGGCGCTGCCGGGCAGGGCGCGGGGTCTGCTCGAGTTGGCGATGTCGGTTGTCTCGGTGATGCAGCCCTGGTAGGCGTACCTGCCTGAGTCGCGGTAGATTTCTTGCGCGGAGGCAAGGGATAGCAGCGACAGGAGGAGGAGGAGGAGGAATAAGAGGGTGGAAGCGGGCGCGGATGCTGAGGTGCGGAACATTTCAACGGCTTTGGGCGCGTTGGTCGCCAGAGGGAGGAAGAACTGATTCTCTTCTAGGTAGCCGGTCTTTTTGGGCGACAATGGATGCCCTTTTCTCGTTGCGGTGCACACAATAAAATAACCTCGACTGCAATGGTTCGTTTTTATTGTTTTGCTTCGCTTTGCTCTGTTTAATCAAGTTGGATCGTGTCTGGGATTGAAGGTTTTTTTTTTTTTGCAAAGTGGAGATAGAGATGAAGTCTTAGACCGAGTCGAGAAGGAATATTATCATTGTCATTTCGCCCTCTTGGCATCGGATTCAGCACGATAAGACCGAGCTGGAAGCTCTGCCGCCCGGTCTGGGCCCAATGATTAATTTGTAGCTAATAATATACGCTCGCTCGACAGGGGTTGTTGTGCTGCCAGCTGCCATGTCAGCCAATATCAACCCCAAAATGGATGCGATGAGGGTCTCGAGAAGCCAATCACTCTATGAAGGTGAAGAGAAGAAAGTGGAAAGTAAAGAGAAAAAGGTAAAAAAGTACAGAACAAATACAGACGAAGAAAAATGGAAGAGGATATCTTGTAGCAATACAGAGCAGAAAAAGAAAAAGAAAAGAAGAAGAAAAAAAAGACGCCCACATCAAATACGGGCGTCCTCAGTAGCAACACGCTCCATAGACATCAGCAGCCGCAACACCCTCTCGTAAGACCACACCGTGACAGCGCTCCCCGGCGCCGCCTTGATCAGACTGACAGTCAACCCCCTATACAACCCCCGAAACCCCTCGGCGCGAACGATGGCGCGGAGCACGCCGACCGCGCCGCCATAGTACTCGGGGATGTTCTTGTGCACGTAGCGCGCCCGCGTGGGGCCCTGCACCTGGATCCGCTTCCGGACAAGGTCGAGCGGGAAGACGGCCGTCTTGGCCACCACGCCCGACACGACACCGGCCGTGGCGTCCCCGCCGCCCCAGGGGAGGTGCAGCTCCGCGAGCGGCAGCCGCAGCGTCTCGTACGAGGCGAAGAAGATGCCCATGTACGGCACGATCTGGCCCACGCCGGGGCCCAGGCCGCGGAAGAAGCCGCGCCAGCCCTCGTCGCGCCGGATGTCGCGCACCGCGCCGGCCAGGGTGGTGTAGACGCGGTCGTTGCCCTGCGCGGCGAAGCGCGTGCGCAGGAGGTCGAGCGGGTAGGTGGTTGTCGTGGCGGCCGCGCCGGCGGCGGCACCGGCGATGAAGGATCCCACGGCGGGAGGGATGCGGCTTCGTTCTCCATCGGCAGTGGCGGTGACGGTGCGGAGGAGCTGGGTGACGGATCGGTAGGCGGTGAACTGGACGGCACCGTAGCAGAGGTACATGATCTCGGCGGGGACGTTGCCCTTCCAGAGTCCCGTGATGCCCTCATTCCGGACGATGTGGCGGAGGGTCGGCAGCGTGCCTTTGTATATGGGGCCGCCCTGGGCTTTCGGGTGGCTTAGCGGGTCGGAGAGGGAGTGGGACTGGAGCTGCAGACGGATCTTAACGACGTCGAACGGAGCGACGATGAAGCTGTCGGGGCAGGCGGTCAGCGGGAGTGTTCGAACAATTGGTGAAGCCTTACATTAATGAATGAAGGATATGAGGGCCTTACCGAGAGATCAAGCCGGCAGTGGCGCCAGCTGTGACGACCTGGAGTTTAGAGCCCTCATCTCGGAGGCCTTCTCCACTGACGCTGGACGACATGCATCCGGTTTCCGTCGAGGGAGAGCGGTGAAGCTCGGGAGATGTTGCGTCGATTTAAAGGGATTCCGGGTTTCGAAGAATGAAAACGCCGCTATGGTTTAGAAAGTAATGATACGGTCGTGCGTGTGCCTGGGGCGGCACTCCGATGATTGAAGGCTCAGTTGTCTGACCGTTCCGTGGGATTCGGAGGAAGATGCCGCAAGTCGAAGTAGCTCCGGACAGACCGAATGAGGCCAATGCCGGCGGAGTTTTTTTTTTTCTTTTTTTCTTTCGGTGATAGTTTCAATTTAACAATGTACAGACAGGCACGATTTCTTGTCGTGGTTTCTTGAAGTGGTTGTGTAAGAGGGAAGAATTCTTTGGTCCTAGATCATTACGTGGACTTGTCTTGGTCTCAATTCTTTTTTTCTTTTTTTTCGTCCTTTCCCCCCCACCCGACCCGACGCCAGGAACGAGAGTTGGAATGACGGCATGATTATATAAGCATAGAATATTGCTGCTCCGTCCTTCGAGGTCCACGGAAAATGCGGAAATTTGAGGGAGAAGTACGGAGCACTACCTTATGATGTACGGTACCTACTTCGAGGTCACGGGATAAGTTTGATGCCCCGTATTGGGCACATTGCCTTACGTGTAGTTCCTGGGAAATGCCAAGACCCCGAAAATGGTTTCGGAATCCCGTTCGTCCTGTGTTTGACTCTTATCTATCTTCTTGGAGTCTTCTAGCCCCTCGACCGAGAGGTTGGAACTCATTACTTTGTTGAAAAGTACGAAGTAATTACCGAGAAGAGGGAAGTGTTCGTAATTACAGGTACGAAGCACTCCATCTTACCACTACTGGTATACCTTAGATAGGACGGTTGCATTTCCCGACTTCCGGCCATGAGATCGAAGACGTCTTCAAAGCAAGGAGTGGGCTCTAACACCAATCCCCATGGGCATAGCCGCACCATCTGATGAGGCTTAGGCAGCATTTTGAGCATTTGGGGGGGTTTTGCGGGTCAGTCACTGGTTCCTTCCGACCGAAATGACACAAAAGGAAGCTTTGTAATTGGCTACGAGGTACCCAGCTAAGGTACCTAGGTTGAGGGAATAAGATACTCGTACGTCGTACCTATTCGACCTCAGGGCCCATTCTCCCCGGACATACGGCAGCGGCAGCACAGCACTAAACTCTAACCCTAACGAAGCGGGTGCTACCTGCCCTGTGGCGCACTGACGAGTATGACCTACCTAGGTACCCCTAACAACTTAACAACTGTGACATGGGACGGGGGACGGGGGACGGGAGGGAAGGAACCACCCAATGTACGAAGTAGGTACTCCGTAAGCGCAAGCTCGTGGGGAAACGGCCCTGCCGGTGACATCGACTCGAGACCTCAGCCGACCTGCGCATCCTCACGGAGACGCCCGACCTCCATACTTGAACACTCTACCCTCCTTTCTTCTTTTGTTCCCCTTCTCCCTCACCTACCACCTTTCTTCTCATCAACTTTGCTCTTCTCCCATCCCACCCACCCTCCATCTCGAAAAGCTTGAACGGCGCCACAAATAACGTCTCCTCCTCTGTTAGGTACTCAGTATTCCTATTCCGTCGATTCGCGCCTCCAATACGCATGTGATCGAGAGTCCCCCGGCCTGGCTCAATTTGGACAACTGCCCGTTGCCTTCCATTCAACCCTCTCACTCTTCCAAAATCTCCTCCAAAAGCTTCCGAAATATCCTCATCGTCATCACTTCTCGACTTCACTTGGGAGCCGGGAGCACCATCTCGCCTTACACTTCTGAGTCGTGACGGCGACGACTTCACAAGCGTCACCAGTCACCAGTCACCAGTCACCCATCGCCCAACCCCTCCCTCTCCCTCTCCCCTTCACCTCCTCACCATGACTAGATTACCGCTGCCTAACGTTGGCGGCATTTTGGCCCCCATCCTTCCCGCCCTACCTGCCGCCTCTCTCTCTACGCAGCCCGCCACAGCCGTCCTCCCCTTTCTTTCCCCCATCCTCAGGCAAAGAGTTCAGGTCTTCTCCGCCACTAGCACGGAGCCTTGGCTCCGCCTTCTTTCCTACGACACATCCAAGGCCAGTCGCCTGGTCGAGGTCGTCCAGAGCGGTCGCCTCGACCCCCATCCTGTCTCCGGCGAGGTCGAGGTCGACTGGGAGTACGATACCAAGACAAGGTACCGCCGTCTCGACCAGGAGACCTCCCAGGCCCTCGTAGTCCTCGAGGACCTCGAGCTCACCTTCCAGCTCGTCTACTGCGTCGGCGATAAGGATGGGGGCGGTGACGGTTGGCGGGTTGCTGAGCTCGGCGTCGTAGAGAAGCCCGACCCCTTTGCCGCCTTCGGCGGTTACTCCACCATCGCCGAAGCCGAGAAGGCCTTCGAGGAGAACAGGCCCAAGTCGTCGCTCAAGGTTTCGACCGGCTCCCTGGCCGCCACCCCGGGTCCGGACGACGAGGATGACGGATACTGGGATCGCTACGACGCCACGCCGGCCAGGTCGCCCGTGAACCACCGTTCTCCCGCCCCGCCCAAGTCGACCCAGCCCGGGCCCCCACAGCCCGAATCCTACCGCCCCGACTCGGCCGCCGATGATGACTACTACGCCATGTACGACGACGTCCAGCCTGCCATGGACAATCACGACCCGGAGGAGGAGGCTGCGCACATGCAGCCGAATCTGAACATCGGACATTCACTTTCCTCCGACCTGGCGCCAGTCGCCTCGGCGAGCGACTCCCACCCCCCTTACAGCTTGTTGGCGCAACCGCGGGCTACAAAACCCGAATCACCTCCCCTGGACGCCGAGCGGGCCGCCGTCCTGCTACATCCCCGGCCGGCCTCGAGCGCCAGCAGCAACGGGAGCCGCACCGTCGAGAAGCTCGAGGAAACGGCAGAGCGGCAAATGGCCAGCGAATTCAGCGTTAAGAAGCATGTTTCCAGGACCATTCGCAGCTTGTGGATGTTGTCGCAAGCCTCTGGGATTGACAGGGAGGAGTTTGACCGGCTCGTCAGGTCCGAGCTAGAGGTGCTCGAGATGGTCGACAACCATGATCTCTCCTAGTTTTGGTCGGGGATACGGTTCAGCACCGGGACATTTCAAGCGAATTTTTTTTTTTCCTCTTTTGTTTTTGGTTTGATTATATCGCGAAAGGGCTTTCGATTCCCCCTTGCTTTTTTCTTCTTCTTTTTTGGATTGCATAGTTTGGAGTTGGCGGCTTCTCGTGAGACAATAAAGTGAATTTTCTCCGCTAAGCGAAATGATTCTAGGCTCCCTTGAGATATTTCAGATCGTACATTCAGATCGCTCATGCGCTCCCTGACGCCACACGGGCCCAAAAGAGAGGCCGACCAGTTCCATGAACCCTGTTCAATCGCGTCGTCCTCCTCCAAGCTTAGCAATCTGCCGCCTCTTAGAGGCCAACCAACTCCTGACATCCCTCCTGTGGGCCTGTGACTCGCGTGTCTCGCGACTTTTTGCCAAGCTTAGCGCATCGTTGTGCCCCTCATACAACCTCTTTACACTCCCGGGCACGCTAAAACGAGGTGACTGTGCCGCAGTACACATGGAGTGGGAAATATGACACTGCTTGGCGGCAGACCCAGCTTCCATAGACTCTTCATTACCCAGGTAGGACCAAATGCACAGAGTCGCCTCGGTCTGAAACAGATGGTCTCCAAAGCTGGTCTTCCAAAGGTATTCGGTCGGGCAGTGACTACAAGCTCCCGTGACCCCGTCGCCATCGTCCTCCCAGAAGGCCTGGGGGGGCACCTCGGGAACCAGCTGGTGTAGAAGGGGGGAGGGGTCCTTGGTCGAGAGGGAGCTGGGATCGGAATCGTCGTCTGCGAGGCTTTTCGACATGATCCAGTTGAAGTGATACAGCGTCTGGATCGCATCGCTCAGCCTGGCCGCCGTCACGGGTCTGGTGCCCATGCGATACGTATACACCGTCTTGACCAGGAAATTGATCCGGCGCTCTGGGTGCGTCTCGGCCGTGTCCTCGACGATCTTGGGATACACCGAGCACCGGACGTTCAGGTCGCCCTCGAGGTCGGTGGAGTGAAGCTCGCCCAGGACCCTCTCGGCGTAGTCCCGCTGGACCGAGTTGAGGATGTCCCAGTTCCGGACGTACTTGAGGGCCGTCTGGACGTGGATGTGTTTGAAGACGGGGGCTGCCGGGCCGCCAAAGTTGTTCGAGAGCAGGACGGTGCAGGGCGTGGAGTACTTGCGCGTCAGCGGGCAGGGGAGGTTGATGGGCGTGTGGGGCGTGTCGCGGTAGTTGACGGGGTAGAGGGTGCGGCACTTGGCGCAGAGGACGCGGTTCATCTGGTCGCGGTTGAGGAGCGAGAGGTAGGCGCGTCGGGCGCTCTCCTCGCGGAGAACGTGGCCTACGAAGTCGCCACCGCGGCGGTGCTCCGGCATGTAGAGGTTGATCTCGAGGACGGTCCTGCGGAGGGCGCGGCAGGTTTGGGCTAGGACGAGCTGGTTCTCCGCTGGGAGGTGGTCGGCGATCAGCGCTACCAGGTCTAGCGGTAGTTCGAGGAGGGGGCATGGCGCAGTCGTCTCTCCCTGAGGTTCCACGTTGGGGGCGAAGGATCCCGGGCGTGCCGCCTTTTTGAGAAGCGAGAGGAACTTTGTTTTGGACATTGTCTGAGGATGTACGAAAAAGAATACATATATATATATATATAATATATATACTGTATGAAAACAAACGAAAGTAGGAGAGCAAGGTTTGAATTCTTTTGCAGAGATGGACGATGATGGTAGGTTGAGCAGGTTCAAGGCTGTATGTAGTCTGTTCTTCGACAAGTGTGTAGGTTTTTGTTTTGTCCAGGTTTCTCGTCGAGGCCGGGTGATCTCACCCTCGACGAGTTGATTATATATCCATATAGGTGGCATATTGCTGCTCCGTAAGTTTGACGCCCTTGGCCAAGATGGACTTATGTGTTCAAAGTTGAAGCCACGGACGGCACAGGTAGTTAGAGTTGATAGGGGCAGAGACTAGGAGAGCCGCGTCAGTTACTGTCCCGTTGGATGAAATAGGCCGCTCTACTCAACCCCCCCCCCCTAAATATCGTGCTGACTCTGAGCTAAGTGGAGGGTGGCGGCATTAAGGGGGTGAAGACGAGGACGGAGAGTTTTGCTCTGATATACCTTGGGGAAACGAATAAATTAGGTCTCCCAGTCCTCCCTGTTTTGTTGTTTTTACTTTAGCCAGCTCGGTTACCATACGGCTACGGCCCAGCTACTAACACGAATTGAGATGATCGAATATCATGGCAACAAATCGAAGTGCAGTTGTATGCTTTGGCAGTGACCTGTCTGTCTGCCGCATGAGGCGATGTGGTTGGACAATGCTCGGTGAACGACCGGGAGTACGGCGACCCATAAAATCAAGCCGCCTCAGCCTCAGCCTGCTTACCTAATGCAGCCTCCCGAAGCACGGCGCGACGAACCACCAAAAAAAAAAGTTGCATCGCGGTACCATCGTCAGGAGAGGGTTCCGTTTTATTCAGCGATCCCCAACGCCTCTTCCCTCTCACCCTCACGACGAATTCATTTCGGGGTCGACGCCATACCTTCAGAAACCGAGCACCATGATCCGGTCACGAGTGAGAATACCACGCCTGCGCGTGTTGGCGCCGCAGCTCGCCTCGCAGCAACGCTCCCTCCACAGCGTCCCCAAGCTGGACCACGACTACTCCGAAGGCGTGCCGGGTCTCTTTTCCCCCGACGGCTTCCACATGGCGTGGACGCAGCAGATGACCTATACTCTGGATAAGCTCAATGCTCTCGTGGCAGGTTCGTTTGCACTCCACTCCAAACTACCCTGTCCTTCAGTTCTCTTCTCGGCAATAAAGACAATTGGATACACGACCAGAGTCAAACACTGACCAATACTGACGAAATCAATAGGAACCGACCTCGAGACCCGCGACACGAAACAGATCCTCCACGCGACAGCCCGCGACCCGGACCAAGCACCCATCTTCAACCACGCCTCCATGGCCCACAACACGCACTTCTTCTTCAAGAACCTCACGCCGGCCCCGAAACCCATGCCGTCCGCCCTGGCCGCCGACCTCTCCCACAGCTTCTCCTCGCCCGAGACCCTGCGCCGGGAGCTCGTCCTGACCGCCTCGGCCATGTTCGGCCCCGGCTTCGTCTGGCTCGTCAAGAGCCCCACCGCCTCCCCGGGCTCCGGCTCTTCGTCCTTTTCCTCCTTTTCCTCCTCCTCCGCATCCTCCTCGGCCTCCTCGTCCGGCCTCCTCGGTGGCGCCTCCGAGCCCGAGCCGTCCTACCGCATCCTCACCACCTACCTCGCCGGCACGCCGTACTCGGGCGCCCACTGGCGCCAGCAGCCGCAGGACATGAACACCGCGGGCGCCCACGGCTCGGCCGCGGGGTTCATCCGTAGCAGCCAGCGCGCGCAGCAGGTGGCGGCCCGCCCGCCTGGCGCGCTGGAGGTTGTGCCGCTGCTTTGCCTCTCGACGTGGGAGCATGTCTGGCTGCGCGACTACGGGGTTGGGGGGAAGAAGGCCTTCGCGGAGGCGTGGTGGGAGGTGGTGGATTGGGAGGCTGTTGCGGAGGCGGCTTCTATCCGTGCGCGGCCGGGGTTTAAGGTGTAGGGGGGCGGATTCGCGGGTTAGGCTCGTCCATGAACTGGGCGTGTTTTATTGTAGAAGGGGCATGTCTGGTGATGGCCAGGACGGGAGAAAAGGTGTGAGGTGGCACAGAAAGAAGAAGTGAATGCTGGGGAGTGTAGGTATATATGCTCCGTGTACTAGGTCTCTCGTTGTACGATATAGACGCTGGTCTGAATATGAGCTTGTTGTATAGACTGGCTACTTTCTTCGGTATCATTTCTTTTCTATACATGCATGGGGTTGTTCGTGTTGGATTTCTCTTCATCAACTATTCATTCACCGTTCTATATCTCCGATGCCCATATGATTTCTTTTCCACGGAATACCATCACGTCTACAAACACAACAATCACGATCAGAGGAAAACGGAATCTTCAGAGTACCGCCCGTCCATTCAAGACTCAGCTACGCTAGGTAGCTGCGAGCCAACTAACTATCATGACTGCAAAGGAGTGCGAAGCATCAAAACAAAGAGGTATCACTATGCCACGCCGAGCCCATGAGAAGAAGAAGGGGACGAAGAGAAAACAAAACAAATAAAACAAATAAAACAAGAAAAACAAAAGAGTGCGAGTATAGGGTGGTACAGCTCCTGCGAGTGTCCGGTTCCCAGAGTCCAGAATCTCTTCCCTAATGAAAACCAACCCGAGAGCCCCAGCAACGCCCAATATTTTGACTTGTTCCATATAAGCTTTCTTTTTTCCTTTTTTTTCTTGTTTTCTTTTTCTTTTCTTTCTTTTCTTCGTTCTCTTCTTTCATCTTCCTCATGAAGTCCTTCCCATCATCCACGCATTTCAGTTCCCAGGACCAAAACAAGAAAAGGGGAACAAAAAAAAAAAAGGACCTCAAATCATGTTCCCGTTGACACTCACCTCAAACCCCTCCCCCTTCTGCCGCAGCGCCTTCGCAAGCATGAGCTCCCTCATCCAATCAATCCTCTCATCGCGATTCTTCACCGCAAAATGATGCGTCTTCCCCGTCCCATTCGCCCCCTCCGCCGCGCTCGCCCCCGACGACGACGACGACGCAAACGCGTAAAACCCCGACGACTCGCGCTTCCGCAGCCTCGCCGCCACCCCGTGCCCGTTCTTCTCCTGCGGGATCAGCTGGAACGCGAACGCCCCGATGCTGCTGGTGTCCTTGCTCCCCGAGGTCAGGTGCACGCGCTTGAACGCCGCGCTGAGCTTCGACTGGCTCGCCAGCGACGAGCACGCAATGGCGTAGTCGTCAATGTCGACGTACTCGAGCGTCCGGTCCATGTGGAACGCGTCCTTGTGCATCGCGAGCCGGGTGCCCTTGAGCGTGAAGTAGCCGTCTTGCCACTCGTGCCGCAGCATGCGCGTCTTGCGCTTCTTCATGGGGCCTTGGAACGCGATGCCGTTGGCGGCGTTGTCGGCGGCGTTATACCCGTCAGGGCTGCTCGTGAGGGTTGTGGCGCTGGCGAGAGAGGAAGGCTGGGTTGCGACGGTGGACGACGAGGACGACGAGGACGGCGCGGCTTCCTGCGCCGGGACGATTTTGGTCTTGTCTACCGACGTGGAGGAGCTCCAGGCGTAATTGGCACGTGGCGGCGCTTGGAGAGGTGGCTGAGGCCGGGAGGCAGCCCGTTGGGGAGAAACGGTCTTGGGCGAAGTCCGTGCCACGGGTGTGGGCGCGTTCTCTTCCAGGGCCGGCATGACGGGGAATGACGGCCGGCGCGCAGACGTCCGGGACAGGGCGCGAGGGGGAGGAGCTTGGGTCACCACCGAGGTGACGTGGTGGTAGTTCATGTCGGGCGGGACCGACTGCGACGCGTTCCGCTCGATGCGATCGAGAGGGATGGCCGTGACGGGGACGTCCACCTCGGAGAAGGGAGTTCCGAAACGGTAAGGGTTGGTAGGGGTTTGCAGGTCAGGCGAACGCGGGTCCGCCTTTTCCATGCGGTATGGCACAAACGACTGCTGCTGCTGCTGCTGCTGCTGCTGGGGGTGTGCCGACTGGGCCGCCTGGGATGCCCTCGTGGGCTCGGCGCGAACCGACTGCCCGCCCGGGATGGACAGTTTGGGGAGCGCACGCAGGCCTTCCTTGGGAGCTTGCATGGGGGGCTTGATCTCGAAAGGAGGAGTAGGGGGCACCTCGTTGGAGGCGGACTGCTGGAAGTCGAGGAACCGCCTCACGTTCTCCTGCGCGTCCCTCGCCTGGACGTTGCGAAGAGCCGCCTCCTGCAGGTACTGCAGAGGAGGCATGCCGCCGGGCCCGAGGACGTCCGAAGACGCCACGACCGACGGGACGGCGTCTGAAATGGGCCGCAGGGGCTCCGACGGATCCAGCGCCCTTGCCGTGAGCGGGTTGCCCGGGTCGCCGGCGATCAGGACGGCACCGCTCTCGAGGTCGGCATAGGGGTGGTCCTTCTTGAAGGCCTCGATCAAGCGCTGCTGCTTCCGGTACTTGGAGCAGTTCTCGCCCTTGCTGCAGTAGTGCGGTTTGGGGATGACCTGCTCGATGCCCACGATGGAGACCGACTCGAGCGGGGAGATGATGTCGTCGTGCGAGGGGTTCCTTGGCCTCCGCCTGCTGCTCTTGCGCCGTTGCATGCCGCCGCCGCAGCTTCCCCCTTCCTCCTTGTGCTTCTCCTTCTTCACCTCCTTGCTCGGCTCGTCCTGGATCGGGGTCGGCGCCCGGGGCGAGCTCGGCCGGCTGTCGCGGAGGGTCTGGATCTGGTTCCAGACCTTGGTCCGGATGCCGAACGACTGGATGTCCAGCTCCTTCAGGTCCTCGAACTTGAGCGTCATGAGAATCGCGCCGGTGATGTCGTTCTCCACGAACCGCTCGGCCACCTGAAACTCCATGCCGGCATCGAGCATCGATTGCGCCACCATCTCGGGCGTCCAGGAGACGAGGTTGGACGTGTCGAGGGGTTCGCGGCTAAACTTGAACGGGCTGTTCCTGCGGCGCGGGGGCAGAGACCGGGTCGACGGGAGGGGCTCGTGCATCATGGTGATGCTGATGGCGTCCTCGAACGGCCGGGGTGTTTTCGGGGTAATGGGCGACAGGGTCAGAATGGCCTGGTCCTCGTGAGATCGTATCGACGAGGCGTAAAACAGATGTGGTCCGCGGGGGCCCTCGATAACCGTTTTGTGATGCGGTACGCCACCCACGATGTTCGACACTTGACTCCGACCTGAACCGGGCGTGTGGACCTCGTCGTATGATGAGAGGGTGGTAATACTGGGTTGGCCGCCCGACTACAGGATGCCCGTTAGTCTGTGCCTGAGTCTGGTGAAGGTAGGAAAAAGAAAAGAAAAAGGAAAAAAAAGGAAGAAAAAAAAGAGAGACCTACCGACTGCAGGCTATGGCGAGGTGAGTTGTCCTCGGCTTCGCTCATCAGCTCCTCATCCCAATCCGTATCCACAAACTCGGTGGCTACTGAGATGGGCCGATCCTGCGGCTCACTCTTCAAGCCAAAGAAAGCATTTCGCAAATTCGTCTTCTGGTGCATCTCATGCTGTAGCCGCCGTTGGCTCATGGGCATCTGATATGTGTACTCCTGCGATGTCGAGTCAGCCGTCATGTCCCAACCGAGACAGTTCACTTACACACGGGGTGGTCGACGTCGAGAGGGCCTTGTGTCACTTACCATGATGCGTTCCTATCCTTGATAATCCGGGAGAGTCAAGAGAATTCGGGCTGCAATTTTGCAGCAGATAATTTGACCCAGTTTGCACGGGACTGTTTCCTCTTGTTCCCCACAGCCGTTGCCAGCACTCTTCTAGGGTTTTACCTGGGGGGTTTTGTTTCGCTGAGAGTATTTGCGACCAGCGAGGACGAAGTGAATATTTCGGGTTTGGGGGGTTTTCCTTTTCCTTTTTCCCTTTTTGGTTTGCTCTCTCTTCAAGAGACAGCACTTGGACAGAGACGTTGAGCAGAGACGAAAACGAAACACATTGAAATCGCTATGCTGGGGGGAGGGCAATATGTCACAAGTCGCAAAAGGGGGGAAGGGGAGGGACTTGGGGATCGATGCGGGCGCCTACAGAAGGTTATGTACGTGGAAGAAGGTGAACGGGAAATAATTATGGGATCATACAACGTACCTTATGCAGTGTACTTTTTCATACAACGTACACCTGCACGTCGGGGGAGCACGACCTGTCACCCCTCTGTCCCCTGTCTGTTCCTCTCTCTGCTCTCTGCTCCCCCTTGGTAGCCCTTGGTAGTATATGCATGGTTGCTCGTTGGGAAACATGTGTGTGATTCGGCGGCGTAGCACTTGCACGGCCGATGACGGATCATGATACGCCCAACAGCCGACGCGGGCCCCGCTCCTCCATGAGGGAAAAGCGATCAGGTCAGGCCAGTCTGCTGTAAGAACGGAACCTGTAAACCTGTAGGAAAAGGACGGCGTACGTTGTACGTATGTGGCCAGAAAGGCGGGGGGATAAGAATAGCACTGGGCCCCCCCCTTCTATCGCTATCGGCCCTCGTTCCTTGGCTTGGCCACAGGGTCTGAGAGCCAGCACCGTTCAGTTCGTTCGCCCTCTTCGAATGGACCTTCGAACGGAGTGCGTGCGTGTGCGAGCGCTTTAGCCGAAGCGATCGCCATTGACTACCCTACCTACCCACACTGACGCGGCAAATGACCGCCGAGGTAGGGTTCGTCGTAGTAGAGCTCTCTCTCACTTCCCTTCTTCCCTTCCGTTTCCCTTCCCTTCTCTTCCCTACGATCCCGTTCACACTGGTTTTGTTCCACGACCCCGTGGTTATGGCAGAACGCAGAGCGCAACAGTTTAAAAAAAAATAAGGTGCACGGCAGACAATGCCGAGGTAGCATCATTATGCAGCATCTATGTGCGCCAACCGGGAACAGGGGAAGTCATGGAAAAGATCCATGCTCGAGAAGGCAAGGCAAAAAATAGACATCTCTCGTCTCTCGTCGACTGGGCGACCTGATGTCCAATGCCCTCACGGCCCAACGACAGGCGAGCCATGGCAAACGAAATGGAGGGTGGCGACGAAGAGTGAGTGGTAGATAGGATGCAAGGCGGCGAAAGAGGGGTGTAGAGTGTTGAAGGCCGAGTTGAGAGGTCGAAGAGTTGAAGGTGAGAGGTCTGAGACGAGCGAGTGTGAGTCGATGGAAGCTCTGCCCTGAACAGGTGCCACCATCAAAAAACCGCTCATTGGCTGAAAATCTACAAGGTATGCGGCCCGTACATGGCCAAGGCCGAGTCGGCACGTGTCCTGTCATCTCATTGGTCTAAAATGCTGTTGTGCAACTTTTTTTCTTCCAGCCATACGCTAACATGCCATTGGTCACAATTTTTCATTCTGCTGCCCCTAAGCGCCCGTGCCCACCTGCCCCCTGTTATCGCTACCAAGTCCCGAAACGGAAGCCCCACCAGAAGCTATCAACGGTTTATTTTTATTTTTATTTTTATTTGTATCTTTATTTGTATTTTTAATAACTCACAAGTCCAGACAGGGGCCATCCCCATCACAAAGCAGGGACCAGGGGCTAGGGAACCCGAAGATTTCCCCGCGGGTAGGTCCCACAATGGCAATTGCACATCATATGGGAAGTGGTCCGTGCGTGCTGTTCCCGTCCCTGTGCTCACCTCTTGTCTCTTGTCTCTTGTGTCCGTATCTGGCTTTTCTCTGTTCTTTGTCCCCCGACTTCCGAATCATACCTTAGGTACTCTCTATTTTCTGCAGCACACAGTCAGGCCCAAGCTTCTTGCAGGAAACAAACTCATTCCATTTTCCCGACCCCCTCTTCTAGGTATTCTTCGACTCGGCCGACATTATCGGTCTGAAACTGAAACGTTTTCCCGTCTTTTCCCCTCAAGCCCAATGTCGTGGCTATCCGCGTGGTATGAGGTAATGGTCTGAATCAATTGGGGCCGTTGAACATTGACCGACCATTGACCGACCATTGACCGACCATTGACCATTGACCATTGACCATTGAGACCCGACGATGGCCCTGGTCACTGGGCGTCGGTGGCACATGTCCTTCCAAATACCCCTCTTCCTATATCGTGACCCTCTTTCGTGACTCTTTACTTGCCCTCTGGAAGAATATCCCGACTCTGCCAAGTGGGACGACCCCGGAAGCCCTGCCGAACCACCCTGCTCGCTTCGAAAGGATTCACCGCTGAGCCCACTAGGTAAGGTATCTTCCATCGCCGCCTTTTCACTTTACGATCATGCTGTTAGTCGAGTGCAAGCCGAGTGGAGGCGGCGGCCGACTTCACCAGCCTAACAGCCCCCAAATTCGCCCGGCCGCCGTGAAGGAACGAAAAAAAAAAGAAAAAGAAAAAAAAGGAGCGACTTTTACACCGTGCGCCACTTTTTGGCTTCGACTGACTAGGTAATTATCACTTCGTCTTTCCCTAATCTAAGCCGCTTCGCTTGTTAGGTCCTCATCGGAGAAATCGTCTCCGTAGCCCTGCAGACCCAACGACTGGATCTCGATCACATCTTGCCAAAAGACCCGGTTTGAACAGAGCGATTATTATCAGGTGAGAAGGGACGGTCCGATTCAAGGCTTTTCCCGTGACGCTCTATCCCTCCCCGACATCCACTCTTCCCTGCGGTTCTTCATCTTATTCCTGATGTCAGAAGACAAACAAGCCAGCTTCAAAGATGCCGTCTCTTGGTCAGTACGTGTATTACCTTGTACATACACTAGGTATCAGGTCCACATGTCTCACTTGCTCTGCTCCAGCTTGCCAGGGGCCCGGATAGGGGACCCGCGAGCGCACTCCGCAGGGTTCCGTGCCCTCGCCTCACCACTTCGGTGAACTACGCTGCCCGACAAGTCTTTCTCCGCCGAGGAGAACGTGACACCTGCCCCCGAATCATGTAAGGCATTCCAAATCGCACATGATTTATTTGCCGGGCAGATCGTGGACGTGTCAAGAAGAACGTCAGGTCAAGAGTCCGCAACAGCATCTTCGCATTTCCCCAACAAGGAAACCAGTCGCCATTCTCTATTCGTGCATCATGTCGCTGGCTCTCGTATAATTTTACATTTGACCACGTACGGCCCCCCCCCTTCCCCCTTTCCCCCTTTTTCCTGGTCTCTCAGCAGCCGTAATGTGACGATCGAACATGGTTTCTGCAGTAGATCGGTGCCCTCGGACTGCGAGGTGCATGGCGCCCAGAGTGGTCTCCTACGCCCGGTCCATGTCGTGGAACTCTCACGTGTAGTCCGCTCCGTCTTGCCCGGACTGGATAATCCGGCACCCAGAGGCCCAACGTCCGTCCGTCCCCCTGACGACACGAGGATTGTAGGTAGCATCGAGCACTTTGGTGCCACCCCACAGATCGTTCGGATAGACTCTGCCCCTTCCAGGTCGGGGGTTTTTGTGGTGTGGTGTCGGAAACGAAACCCTCTCGTGATTGGGTTGGCCCTTGGCCGTGTGGCATCCTCAATCGATCTTCCCTCGTTCCCCGACTGGGCAGCAACAAGGAGGTTAAATATGATATGGGTTGTTCTGTATTATGAATACACCGATCTACGGATATGTATGTTGCAATGCCAACTGTACTATAATATGTATAGCAAACGACAACCGAAATAGCAACGGAACCATTTCCTGACTTCGACTCTAGTGATGCGCTACAGCCCTTTTTTTGCGAATATTTTAGCACCCTTCGGCCCTTCGCGTCTTCGCTTATTTACTCCCCCCCTCTCCCCGCCTCCCCCCGACAAACGATACGGTGATATCGGCACTAGAGACAACCTGTGGCACTAGAGACAACCTGTGGCACTAGAGACAACCTGTGGGGGGACTACCACCCAGTGGAGACGTCGGGATGTGGAATATGTCTGCAGAAGTGAGAAGTTTAATCGAGGCTGTCGGTGAAGGACGGCTCGTCTTCGTAGCCGGGAAACGGCCCCATAATCCCATGCAAAGAGAACTACAACGTAGAAAGACTTCTGCCCGTTCTTTACATCGGGGAGGAAGTGTACGAACAACTCGTCGAGAAGACAGTCTTGTGAACCGTGAGCCCCCAGCGACGAGACTTGGCAGCGGGACGAGGTGCATCCTCTCTGCACGGGCTCCATGACTCCAATCCTTTCCCCATGCCCATGCCCATGCCCAGCAAATGGCCAGCAAATGGCCGGGTATACGCAAAAGCCGTCGGTGTGTCCTGTTGAAATATCCGTATCCGTACACATACATGGCACGGAAGTGCGTACATACACATACAGAGTACGCCCGGAAGTGGAGAGAGGGGCGAGCACCGGCTGGCATGGGGTTTTTTTCTTGGGTTCTTACATGCCTCGCGGCGCTTTTCGCTTCACCGACTCTTTCTAGACGTTTGGCGTTGGCGTTGGCGTTGGCGTTGGCGTTGGCGTTGGCGTTGGCATTGGCATTTGACTGACATGACCTCAGTACGGGAAGTAAAGTGACGCATGGAAGCGAGCAGAGCGGGGACGGGCAAAGAAGAGGAGGTATGGCGGCGACACAGACTTTCTCGGAGACGAAAAGAAAGAAAGGAAAAAAAAAATCCCCCTTTTAGCCTTCAGCCCGGTGAACAGATCATTTACCCAATGGACAGTCATGCAGCTGGAAGCCTGGAACCTCTCCATGCCTTTTCCCGCTCATATGACCCGGCACTTCCGCTTCTGGAATTGGGCCTTGGTAACTGGGCCTCTCCTTTTGGGGGATGAGTCGGTCTGCTGTCCGCCGACGGGTGTTTATCGACCCGTCCCACAATCCTTTGTGCGGTTTGTCGTTGAACAATAGCCGGGTATTGGTCATTTATGACTCGTCTTGGGTGAGCCATTTACAGCTGGGAAGGAGTGTAGATACAACCCCCCCCCCCCCTAAGACTCTCTGGACAGGGGTGGAAAAAATTGAGATACTGTGTGGCTTGAGCACGCACTTTTGCAAGTACGTTGTACCTTTCCATGAAGACCCCCTGTCGTTCAAGAAGCAATACGGCTTGCAAGTGGCACGGCACAAAAAAGGCCGTGGCTGGTGAGCCGAGAGAGAGGGGTAATTAGGAACAGGAACGGGGGGAAGCTCACCAGGGACCTCTCGCCGTAAGGTCATGAGCTCGCATAGATATCATGTGGCCCCCAAGACGTGCCCCGGAGGTCTTCTCGTCCAGTCCATTCATGGCCCCCCAAGCCCGGGAAGGTCTTCATAGGTCCAGGACGGACTACATCTGACACCGTCCTCACATGATGCCAGACAAATGCGAACTTCAGGTACGTGAGTGGTCAGCACACGAAACTGCTGTCAAAACGCCATGAGAGCATGTGAGACTGAGCATTTATGCGACCACCTTTGGAGGCCGTAACATATGTAACTGTCCTCGTCGTCGCATATGCTTTATGCCAGACGGGGGATAGCTGGAAAAAAGGCGGGGGTCTCCAACGATGGAAATACTTCTGCAAGTCATTCGCGGATTGATACGAGGGGCATGAGGATTTATGCATAGCGTTATCGAAGCTAGTTGGTAATCTACCGCGGGGTAGGTGGGAAACCCGTCCGGACGGCGAATCGTGACCTGCCAATGTGAGGAATCCAGTCCACACCTTTCCAACAATGGGTTAGGGATTGAATAATGTTTGGCTTATCAAGATCAAGACACGACTAGGGTCTTTGACTATACAACGTACAATGTACACCTCTGGGCTGAGAGATGTTTATGCCTTTATAGATCTGACCTCTACGGAATACAACGTTCGTGATATTCCGTACCGTAATGAAGAGCGCCGTGGGATCATCCAACGTTGTAATGGTAGGGCCTGGCCTTTGAGATCGGAGGGGGCTGGAATGGCGAACAGACCTTAAAGACAGGGGCTTCCCCATTATCCTCGTGCATCTGGTGGGTTCAAAAGCTCCGGGAGGGTAGGACACGAAGGTCTTCGTACTCCGTGCCCTGCCCTTAGCCGGATCGACGAAATTCATGGTAGGGGGACCCCCCTTTTCCGTTAGGTCTGTGGGTGCATGAAGCGAGCGAGAGAGCGAGCGAGGACACAGACACCACCGGGGGTACAGTACAGTACAGTACAGTACAGTACAGTACAGTACAGTACAGTACAGTACAGTACAGTACAGTACAGCCATACGGCAGGCTCCTCCTGTTGCGCGACTTTTGTGGCTCAGCATTCAAACGACCCCTTATACCCCTGCCCCCAAGAAAACCCCCCTTTCCCTTCGCAACAATCATCCAAGGACCTCAGGACATCGGGACGGCGAAGTTCCCGGGATAAAACCGTACATACCTACCTACACACCTTCTGGCTAGGCTGAGCGCCACCCGAAGATCCGTTATCAAACTGATCCAGGGTCCGATTCAGATCACGCACTATTGCTCGTCAGTAAAATTGCATCAAGACAGACGGCGACGCATAGCCAACGAGTCGCTGTCCTCGTCGAGCCCTTTTGGTCCTTGCTGGTTATTGTTTGTCTGCGTCGTCCTCAGAGGAGTGTGGTCGACGACGAGTCTGGACCGTCCGGAGGAAATGGTGATAGTCCGAGATGGACCAATAAATGTGATAATGCGCCCCCAGGAGATTACGCTCGAGAAGAGGCTTTCACAAAGTTTGACATGGCACTGTTTATCGTGCGTATTTCGGAAGCCGATAGTGTAGGTATGTAGGTAGGTGGTGGGAGGAGATCAAGCCGTGGGGGTAGACATTCCTTCGAAGAGCCAGGCGACGGAAACGGCCGGGAAGAAGCAATGAATTCGGAGTATTAATGAAGAGGAAAGCAAAGCGGGAAAAGAAAGCGGAACTGGGGTGTTATGTAAGGCGGCAAACTGAGGAGGAGGAGGCTGGGAAGATAAGGTAGCCCCGAGAAGATCTGAAGCCGCATCTGGAAATTGGCGTGCCCAAGAAGCGAGGGCAGAAAAGAGCGAAACCGTTGAGTACGGAGTACGTAATCACTGAGGAAACAGCTTGTCCAAAAGGGCTTTGCATGGTCATGTCATGATGCGAGCTAGGTAATTGTCTGCTGTTCGAGTTGAATAAAAATAGAAATAGAAAGTTAGTGAAATTGCATTCAGTGCGATGTGCAAGATGCAGAGAATGCGTGAATATCATTAACCGTGTTAAGTGCAATCACGGACAATGTCTTGGTTGCGGCCGAGTCGAGTTGGAGAAGGTCTCAAAAGGGCCCTTCCAAAATTAGGCCAACAAGGCCAGGCCAGTGACCAGCGACTGTTGGCCAACTGTGATGGCCAACGGGTGGGCAGAAAAGGCCAAAATGGTAAAGCACATTTTGTGGGCGGTTAATTATGTCACCAGAAATAGGTACCTTGGGATAAAATCGGCACCCGCAAAGTACTTTGGTACTTCGTAGCATGTGCGGGGAAGCTCGTCCTTCTCCAACACCTCTCCCTCCTCTCTCTCTCTCTCTCTCTCTCTCTCATCCCTTTTCCTTCACCACTTCGACTCGGTGCCTTTTGAGCGGTGGTGGTCTCAACGCGCCAAGCCGGTAGGACATGGGTCCGGGTCGACGCTATTCGCCTTCGTATCCCTGCCAGATGCCGTCTTCCCGCGCGGATTGGCCATAGCTCCCCCCTGCCTAGCGTGCTTGTCACCGCGGTCCCGGTCAATATTCATGCACGATCGCACATCGACGAGCCAATGGAGACGGGGAACGGCCTGGCCCCGAATGCTTGAACCCCTGTCCCATCACAGCCAGCCGCTAGAATCGGTTGGTCCCGCCGGTCCAGCTGGTTTCTGCACGAGCCATCACGTCGTCACATCCACCGGCCGAATCAGACGTCGACCCGGCCCTCCCCCCTCTCTTTCCATCCGAGGCGACTGGACTTTCAACCATTGGGCGGGCCGGACGGGGACCGGCATCTATGTACGTTGTACGGTTGTACAGTATGTCTGCAGTCTTTTCCTGCACTCATTCCTCCCGCCCCCGGAGGTGCGATGTTTATCGTCTCCACTAGAGACTGTCTCGCAGAACATCGTCCGTGGTTTCCCAGTACTTGTTTCTCTTCTGGAGGTAGGTCTTATTCCGAGGTACTTGGTTAACAGTATCGGGTCTGTACTTCTCGTCTCTTATTACCGAAAGGAAAAAGAAAGGAAAAAGTCACTGCCGTAGCGTTCTCGCGGGCATTTTTCGCTTCGATCCTCGAGGCCAAGAAAGGATTGGAGCCATCGAGCTAGGCGGAACTAGGAAAAAGGATAACGGTGGATCGTCGACCAGCATCAACTTTGCCTTGCCCAACTCGGGAAGCTGCTTAGTACACGGTCACCAACTTTGCTTTGTCCGTTGGGCATCTGTCGTCGGCCGCAGTTTCCGACGCTGTGATTCGTCTGCTGCATATATCCGAATTGGACGTAAAATCGAATAGGTACGTGCCCAAATCTCTCTCTTGACATGTGTAGCACTCATGGCCCGGATAGGGGCCGTTTTGCGTTGCACATGGAGTTGCTGAGGACCGGCGAAGAGCATACGAAGGACATACGCTTGGTAATTCTCTCGCCCGAAATACCAAATCAACCATATTGGTTTCATTGTGGTGACATGCCCACAATGGACCCTGGTTGAGCCTCCACGAGAGTATTCCCGAAGAGCATTCTTTGCATCCACGTGCTTTCCTCGTCATGCTGTTGGTTACAGGTCACATTGGCCTAACGAGCTCACTCGTCGTACCCAAGATAGCTCTCGCGCTTGTTCTTCCAAGGCAAACGAAAGAAGCGCGCTCAAGGGGACGAGATTATGTTTACTGAAACATAAGAAGACGGCACTGGTATGCGAACAGGCGGTTGGATCATCGCAACCCCCGGCTTGGCCTGGTCCATCATTCTCCCGGTTCGGAGATCCATGATTCGAGTGGCTTTCGCAGATCAAGGCTCTGAGCAACCAGCAAGTCTCGGGGAATGGAAGAGCAAGATGGCCGTAGTGACCCGGAGGCGGACCCGACTTTACCAAGAAAGAAAATACTCGACCGAGTGTAAGTGTATCTGTAGCTGCGGGCGTACAATGTACGTTGTACCTACTCGGTACGATATGGTCAATGGGCAGACTGGGGAACAAACTGGGGAGAACAAACCCACAAACCTACCAGGACCCTTGTCCAGAGTGCGCAAAGCTGACGATCTAGTCCAGTTTAGTCGCTGAACAGCCCGAGATGCATACATGTATGCACCACGAACCAAGGACCAAAGACCAAAGACCAATGACCGAGGGAGGACCCCTGTCGTCCTATTCTGCCTGCAACCCACCCTCCATGCCGAGCAAGGCCTAGCTATTCGTGGTAACGAAGAGACGGAAGTCTGGTGTACAACGTATCCTCGAGTGAGGGTGGGCTTCCCAACGCAGTCTAGTTCGGGTTTGCGGTGCGGCCATTTTCGACGGCCCATCCTCATTGGCACCAGTAAGCGCACGTCGAGAACAAGTGCGTACAGCGTACGTCCGCCCTGCCGTTCCTTCTTTGGGAGTTTCTATTCTGCGGTCATTCTTCTCTCCCCATCCTCTCCATCCCAGTGTAGCCAAAATTAGAAACATCACTGCAGTTTGCGTTGTTCAAGATGTGTGCGGCCAGCGGGTCGTCATCGAGGCGGCCACAATATAAGTCTTTGGCTCCTCAACACCATCATATAACTCCTGGACCTTTACTTCTTCTACAGGTTAGAAGGTCAAGAAGAAAGGCTGTGGTCCAAGTGTTGTCTCTTTTTTTGCATTCTTTTCTTTTCATCCCCCTTTCCCACCCTCCTCTCCGCCCTCCTCAACCGCTTCGTTTCTCTCTCACGCCTCCCCATAACGAAGCCAACATTCCCCAAAAAAGGCAAGCCGGTCTTGCTCATAATCACATTCATTCACCACCAAGTCGCTGAGCGCACACGATATACGTTTTTCTGCTTTTTGATTCGATCTCGACGATAATAACGACGAAATAATCTAATATCCCGAAAACAATCCATTGATCAAGACTCGACGAGTCAAGAAACGACAACCGACAAACAAGGCAAACGAACGCGAGAAAGACAAGGCCCGGACTCGAAAGATCGAACGACCCTTGCAAAAAAGAACTCGCTTGTTCGTCTTCGCACTTTCACTCTTCCCCCTGGCCTCTTTTTGCCCGCCCAGCCAGCCCCTGGACAAGACACAGTGCCAGTCAACCCCGGCTCTTCACGGTGCAACCGGTGTGCAACCCCCCCACTCTCTTGTTCACCCCCTGTCGACGGGCTCCCGTCCGCCTCCACATACTCGCACACAGCACATCAAGCAACACATCCGCACGCCCCCCCGTGAGTCGCTCGACGCTCTCACGCAGGTACCTCTATCGCGAGCAACTCTCCTGCACAAGAGGTACAAATGTCAACACTACCCCCCAAACAGCATCAAGACGAGTTCGTGAGACCAGCTCCTCCGGCCAAGATGGCAGTGTCACAATCTACCAAGGCCAAGACGGCCGCAAAACCCAGCAATGGGAATCCCAAAGCGAAGACTCAGATGCACCGCCGGTCAAGAACAGGTACGTTTTGTGTCGCCTCTAGCTCGTCAGCACTTACACGACTTTCACGTTGAGTGACAAGAGAAGAAAAAAAAAGATCCGTTTTCGGAAACTGACTAACTCGCCTCGACTGTTCAGGATGCTACACCTGCAGACTGCGGAGGAAGAAGTGCGACGAAGGCGCCCCCATGTGCACGGCTTGCAAGCACCTCGGCCTGCAGTGCGAGTATAAGCGGCCCATGTGGTGGAGCAACAACGATGCGCGCCGCCAGCACAAGGACGACATCAAGGTGATCATCAAGCGCAAGAAGCTCTCGGAGAAGACGCCGCACACTTCTCACACTTCTCACACCTCTCACACCTCTCACACCTCTCACACCACCATCCAAACCTCCATCCACTCCCCGCCGGGCCTGTCGCATTCGCAACCGACGTCGGCCACCTTCTCCGATCCCCTCGACCGCACCCGATCCGCTTCGATCGACTCTCACTTCTCCACAGCTTTCAACTTCAACAGCCCACCCGGCGTGGTCGGGGACTTTGGCTTCAATGCCCAGATGCACCCGGACTTCATGTTCGGCGCCTTCCCTTCGCCGTACGAGATTGACGTCAAGACGGAGAGGCAAGTGTTCATGAACGACGTGCCGACCCTCCGGGAGTCGCACATCTCCACATTCAGCACCTTCCACGCACCGCCGCCACCAGGTACTACCCTCCTGCCGTCGACACTACCGTTTGAAGGGGGTGAGTGGACCGAGCAGGTGTATTCGGAGCGCAAGGAATCGCTCAGCGAGGAGACGCTGAACGTCAACTTCTTCGACTTCTCACACGGACCCTCGATGCCGAACCGACAAGTGGCCATTGAGCTCGATGAGAACGACCAGCGGCTACTCGACCACTTTGTCCAGTTCGTCCTGCCCAGCATCTTCCCGATTCTCGAGTCCAACCAACACGGCTCGGTGGCATCCGACCTCATCCTCCCGGCGCTCCAGAGCAACCAGGGCTACTTGCACTGCTGCCTGAGCATCGCGGCCCAGCACTTCAAGGCGACGATGAACCTGCAGGGCGAGGAGATGGACGCAGACATCATGCGCCACCGTTACGCGACCATCTCGGCGCTGTGCGACGCGCTGAACCAGGACGAGAACCACCAGCAGATCCTCGAGGCGGCGCTCGGCCTCATCTTCTTCCAATGCGTCGTCGGCCGCTACGACGACGCGCTCCCCGACATTCCGTGGCACCAGCACTTCCAGGCGGCCATCAGCCTGGTGCAGAAGCTGGACCTGCCGCGGCTGGTCTCCGACCCGGAAGAGGCGCCGGCGCAGACCCCGTTCAACATGACCTTGACGGCGTGGATCGACATCCTCGGCGCCACCATGCAGGGCCAGGCGCCGACGTTCGCCCACACGTACCGGGAGAAGCACCTGTCGGCCACGAACCCCAGCCTGGGGCTGCGCGAGCTCATGGGGTGCGAGGACCGCGTCATGTACCTCATCTCGGAGATCGCCTGCCTCGACGCGCTCAAGCGCGACGGCATGGACGAGATCACGCTGTGCCAGCACGTGCACGCGCTGGGCGAGCAGATCGGGCACACCGAGGTCGGGTGCGACACGACGCCCAAGATGCCCTTCACGTCGTCCGGGGCGCTGTCGCCCAAGCAGCTGTCGCGCAACATCACCATGGCCTTCCGGCTCGCGGCGCGCATCTACCTCTGCAGCCTCGTGCCGGGCTTCAACCCGGGCCAGCCGTCGTGCATCGGGCTCGTCGACAAGCTGACGACGGTGCTGCAGCACATCCCCTCCGGGCCGGGCGGGTTCGACCGCAGCCTGGTCTGGGTGTACCTCATCGGCGGGTCGGTCAGCCTGCCGGGCAGCGGGATCCGGCAGCTCTTCGAGGACCGCGTCGCCGAGCTGGGCGACCTCGCGTATATGGGCTCTTTTGGCCGGGCGGCGCCGCTGCTGCGCGAGGTGTGGCACCAGACGGCGGCCATCAAGGGGAGTCCCAGCCTCAGCGCCGACGGGATGAGCACCCCGGGATCCAACGCGGGGAGTCAGGCGGAGGCGGTGGTGCAGTATTCGTACATCCACTGGCGGGATGTCATGCAGATGAATGGGTGGGACTTTTTGTTGATCTGAGCGACGAAGAAAAAGAAGAAAAAGAGAAAAGAAAAAAGAAGAAAAAAAAGTCCCGAGGCCCCACTCATTCATCTGGATGGAATTTTGCACTGCTCTTCCATGCCAGGCGATGCGGGCAATCACCAACTGATTCCCTTTTTCGTTGCGACTCTGGGGTCGGTATCGTCGGCCTGAGTTTACCTCGGCCTCCCACCTCTCTTTACCTTTTTTTTTTTTCTTTTCTTATATACAACACTGGAAGCCATTGACGGGCCTTTCTGGTTTCTTTGGAGGGTAAAGTTTTACTAGAGGATGCCGCAAGGCACTGGAAGACAGGGAAACGGGTCTTTTCCCTCTGATGAAAAGAGAGAGCACATGAGCGAAGAGACACACTTGGAGTACACGATTTTTCTTTTCTTCTTCTTATTGACCTTCAGGATCGGGATGGGACGAAGGATATGACGGTGGAGCGAGTGGATGGAATCCTTGGGGGGTCTTTCTTTTTCTTTTTCTTTTTTATGTATTTCTTTTGGTTCTTCGGCCGGTCAGATACCACAGGATGGAATGGGCCACGGGATTTTGGGCATAGCGGAACAGGGAACGGGGTTTGAGGCGTTCACTGCGAGTTCTTGGATTCGGAACGAGCAGCCATTTTAGCATTAGGAGCACGGGGCATTGATTGCTATCAGCGAGCGGCTCTGGCAGGGACTGTAGCTCCCCTGTTTACATTCTACGGACCGGCAGTGGAAAGGGTTCGCTTGCGTTCCTCCTGCGGTCGATTAGATGATAGGAATAAGAAACGCAGATTTCTTCAAACCAACTGTGCACTTCTTCTCTGGTGATACCTGATCATCCTCGGGGTTAGGCAAAATGGTGGATGTGAATGTTGCCCACATGTCGATCTCCGGTGTCCTGACCGTAGATCCCCCTGAGACTGAGGAAGATCAGGCCGCTACAGCGGGTTTACGGCTACAGAGCCCTACAATACAGACGGGTAGATGGCACCCTGCCATTCATGCACCCACTGTAACCATACGCATACGAGACTTCACTGCCGGAATAGTGCAGCACAGGGGGGACTGTCTACAATGCAGGCTTGTTCTGCATTCTGTTCAGTTGGGGGGAGACTGCGGTCTCCCGGAAGAAACACGAAAGTCCATGGCCGCGGACAGGACAGTTCGACGTTCGGATAGCGGAATGCTCACAAGAGGGCGGCAGTCGGCTATGGTAGGTTCGAAGAGGGGGCTCAAGGGAAAGACAAGATGCAGGTTTTTCGTTAGGTCAGTTCCCAGGTATCGTCCTCATGCCATTCCTGCTTCGTCCTTCCCTGTTTACCGGTTCACGATCGGTCAGAAGCAGAGATCACCATACAAAGTACCGTCACGGGGAGGGGGGGGTGCATCTTGAAATTCACCGCCTCGCCTCGTTATTACGCCTCTACACATTCTAGCCCTTCAGAGATAGCTCCATGCAAGAGTAGGTAGTGCATCGTCCGTCCCGTGGCCGGCGTCCTCGAGAACGAGCTTGAAACAGGCCAAGAGGGGGCGAAGTCGAGACATATTGTAATTCCATGCACAAGAGCGCAAGAAAACGGGCGAGAACCCACGTGAACCCGTGAACCCGTGAACGAAGGCGATACTAGAGGGCGGTGGGCAGAATCGGCTCTCTACAAAGTCACGCTAGAAGGTTAGGGCATCGCTGGGCCAGCGAATGCGGTTGCAGAGGTCGTACAGTGGGCGAAGGACCCTGTCGAACTAGGGGGGTTATTTGGGGGGGCCCTGGTCAGGTCGAGCAGAGGTCGGATTTGCGATGCGATTTGCTCGTGGATTGGAATTATGAATTAGCCACGATGCGCCGGTTTGGGGCGGGCTTGACCGCGATTTGCGAGAGAGAGAGAGAGAGAGAGAGAAAGGAGCATAATTGGATGGAGGCTGGTGGTGATGCTGATCTTCCATCTTCCCTTTTGTCTCTTGGCGTCTTGCCCTGGCTTGCTGGTGGTCTTGTGACTCGACTAGAAGTCAGGTGACTCCATGGGTACTTTTGAAGGAAAGGTGGCTGGGATGTATCCGGTTTATCACGTAATCCGGTGTGGCACTCATGACCGATATGGGGCTTGAGGATGACAAAAGCTGTGGGGCAACTGAAGAACTAATAGCCAATCAGAAGGGTGTATTAAGCACGATTTGATACCAAGCCGCCGGCGAATCAGCGATGCGCGTTTCCGCAGCGCGCGGCTATGGAGCAACACGTACCAAGCTGTTGGCATTCTCCAGTCACCAGTCGTGGCGCCGACTTGTTCAACGTTCAACACACAATGAAACAACAACCATCCTTTGTAGACTCCTTTCTTCTTTGTTTCGAAACGCCGGCCCAATGTTTCTCACGAACTATTGGCTCAGAGGGCGGCAAACCGATGACAGGACATGAGCCTGGCGCTTCCATGACATCCTCTCATTTCGTTCAACTGCCTTCTTTCTCCGGCATCTTCCAACACAGCCTCGTCCTCCAGTCTTCATCTTCTAATGCCCAGGGAACCAGTCGGTTGTATTTCGTCTTCCTGCTCGATGACGTGTGGTGGGAGCTGAACATCTCTTTGCACACATCTCTTCCTATCCTCTCCAGCGGGTCAGCCCTCCAGATCAAGGAATGCAAGTGTTGACTCCAGTTCCGCCGTGGACCCTGGAAGCCCCAGCCGGTCGTCTCCAGCAAAGCGGCATCCTACAGACCAGTCGGTGCTCTCCATCATCCAGCTTCTGGTAATAAGCTCTCCTCCGTGAAGTCTCTGCCTTGCCGCCGACCAGACGCTTGGTTGGACTTGAGCGGACCTACTCTGCGACCTCGCGGATGCAGCCCTGTGCCTTGTACCCCGTCAGCCGGCAGCCGCCAGTCGCTTCCGCATGAAGAATGGGATCGTTGCGCACGATGGACCTAGGACCAAGGAAAAGCTGTGGCCCGTAAGATGCCCATGTCCTTGACTGGGCTCCCTCTTCTCGCGCTCGCTCTTGGTCTCTTGGGCGCTCTGAGTCTTTGATCGAAGCGCGTCGGCCAGCGTCGACCCGCGTGGAGTGACTGGTGCCCGATGATATCAGAATTTTCCATTTCTCATTTCCTCCCCTATATTCCAGTTTTCCATCGGATGTGGGTGTGAAGACTCTGTGATACCATCATTGTCATTCTATCATCCATTATCCCTCTTCTTCATTCTTGTTTCTTCGGTTTCTTTTTGATCGTGACGGATCACACAAAACGCCTCGCTGCTTCGAATTCCTTTTTGTTCAAGGGACCGCCCAACTACGAAACTTCAGATCTCCATCTGCCCGACGAAACGACTTCAACCTCTTCTTCTTAGTTCTGTGTTCTGACGTCTAAGGGCATTGTTCAGTGTTGTGCGCCGACAACATTCTTTGCACGTCTACGCCTTTGTTCTGCTCGTGGTCATTGTACTTACGGCGATCTTCTCTGGACTGCCTCGTCCTTCTCATATCACATACCGACTCTTGAATACTCACAGCAACTTGGTACGCGACACTCTTGACTCGATTTTCAACCGCCGTTACAGCCGACAACACTTTATTTGCGCTACTCATCCGAGAAAAGAACAAGAAATAACCTCGACGGCAACGGGATTACACTTCTCAGAAACATTAGCACGGCATTATCGGCCTTTTTCTTCTTTTTTCCTTTTTCTTGTTCTCTCAAACCATCTCGACCATGTCGAGATCAAGAGCTAGAGTGCTCTTGCTCGTCTGGCTCGCCTCAGCAAGGGCGGCATCTATCCCCTCCATCTTTCAACGTGACGACACTGCAATATGCGGAGCCGACAACTTCCGGCAATGCGGCGGTGGGCTCGACGAAGGTCTTTGCTGCGCCGAAGGCAGAACCTGCCTCTTCCTCGCCGGCGGTTCGACCGTGGTCTGCTGCCCCAACGACTCGTGCAAGCAGTTTACCGCCATCTCCTGCAACGTCAGCCTCCAAGATCCCAGCGAATACCCCCAACGACAACTGAAAACCACAGCCCTGGATGCCGAGCTTCCCAGGTGCGGCGAGAACTGCTGCCCCTTCGGCTACACCTGCAATGACGAGGGGCTGTGTGACATGGATGAAGACCAGTCCCAGCGGCCTTCTGAGCGGCCGGCTTCCGAACGCCCGTCCACTACTCGGACATCGATGTCGAGCGTTACGTCCACGTCTATAATATCAACCACCACCTCTAGTTCTGAATCGACGACTAGCGGCACTACAACCTCCACATCCACGTCCGCGTCCACGCCCACGTCAGCTCCCTCAACATCCCCACAACCGGATGCAGAAGAACAACAAGGCGGCGATGATGATAGTGGCGACGCCGACGACGAGGAAGATGATCCGTTTCCCACGGCCCCCGTCGTCGTGGGTGTCCTCGCAGGCGTCTTCCTTCTCGTCGCAGCCGCGGTAGCCGTCTTCATGTACCTCGCTCGACGCCGCAACAAGAAGAAGAACGCAACCAGCGCCTTCACCGAGAAGAAACCTTTCGGCCGTGGCCGGCTCTTCCGGGCGTCTTCGTCCACCTCCTCCTTCGGCCACATCATCTCCGACCCCATCCCCAGGGAGGAGTCCGCCTTGCGTACCGACTTCATCCTCAAGACCCCGGAACGCCACTCGCGCGCGTCGCAGCGCCTCAGCTCCCTTTCCCGCCGCGACTCCCTCAACTTAAGCGGCGCGACGGCCGTCGTCCCGCGAGACCTCCTCGGCAATAGCAGCAACAGCAACAACAGCAGCAGCAGCAGCAGTGGAGGTCCCAACCTCGGGTCGACCTCCACCCACGGATCCCAGCGCGGTGCCCGTCCGCCGCGCATCCCCACCCGAACCCTCACCAACGCCACCATGACGACAACCAACCGCCACAACCCCCGCCCCAGCATCACCATCCCGCCCATACGCACCATGCGCAACCAGCAGAAGCCGACCATCAACCAGGGCGGCTACTGGGGGGACGGCGGACTCGCGCCGCGGGAGGCCGCGCTCGAAGCCGCCACGCCTACGGACACCAGGCCGGTGACGCCCAGGTTGCAGCGCGAGCCGAGTAGCGAGAGCATCAACGTGTTTGCGGACCCGGGCACCGTGGCGAGTAGTAGTAGTAGTAGTAGTCGGGGTGGTCAGCAGGGGAACCCTTCGGCGGGGGTCATGGGGCTGGAGCCGCCTCAGATGAAGCGGTTCACGTCCGGGACTACGTTTACGGATCTTATGGAGGAGGCGCAGCTGGGTGATGTGAGGAGGGGGAACCCTTTCGTGCCGGGGACGCCTGGCCGGACGCCTCAACGAGGGTGATTGTCGGGAGGGGAAAAAAGGGAGAGGAATGGGTTCGTTCTTTACTTGGTTAATGGCTGTCGTTTTGTTCTCTGAATGCCCTTTCTCCTCTTTTCCCTGACTTTTTAGAGGAGGCATTGCACTTGGTGGGAAAGTGGTTCGTTCGTTCTATACCATGCATAGCGAGAGTCGGACGCAAAGATTGTGTTGTTGGAGTTATGGTCTTTTTTTTTTTTTTTTTTAACTTGGTATAGCGTTGTTATCACGGGTTGATAGCACATGGATGGAGTTTTGGTTCCCGGGAGGAGAAGAGATAGATACCACCCACGCTCTGGAGCGCCTACATCCACAGAAAACTGTATATACTCTGTTGCCAACTAGTATTTGAGTGCCGAACCTTGTTGTGTTGGTTGTATTCGGTGGACGGCATCATCCTGGCGCCGGGATTCATCGGAACGGGTAGTCAGTTGAGGCCTCGATACTGATGATATGGGTCCTTAGGTAGTCAAGCAACAGTCGATTCATCCGATAGGACAATAATCACCTAGTGTTGCCAAATGTTTGGATTCCGTCGTCTTTGAGGTTCTTGGTCCTCTTACTTTACCAACGCTATCCCTTGGGGACGGACCCCTGAGCCCCTGACTGAAAGCCCGCCGAAATCTTCGCCTTCGTCCACCGGCCTGCCATGTTGCTCAACTATCCATCGAGATGAAGAAACAAAATACGTCCCATTTCGTCTCTCATGGCGAGACACTTATGCCAGGACGCCGTTAAACAAACCTTAAACGTATGGGGAATACACACGACCGGATTACCTTTCCAAACAGCCCAGTTGTAGTTCCGACGACTTTGCATCGTCAAGATACAGTCCCTGCTTTCATTTGCAACGGGCAGGCAAGTTTCCATCCCGTTTATAATTATGGATCTGTTTCCGGACCCAAAAGCCAACGAGTTGACAAGCCTGGACCCAAAGTGAATATGACGGCCGCCGTCTTCCTCCACGTCCAGGACAAAGTAACCTCGGGCCATTTTGATCATAACGGCGGAACTCATATCCTTCCAAGCCACGGCGACGTGATCCTCATCTGAGATGGTGAGGGCAGAGGGTACCCTAGACCGCGTCGGAGGTTCCCTAGCCGCGAAATCAGGACCCGAGGAAACCCATGAGCCAGAACCATCGATCGTGCCCAGGGCAACGCCGCCGCCGCCACGGGGCTGAGAGACCCCATGAAGGAGTGGTGACCAGGCAATAGCAACTGCCTCCCCGTCGGGTGAACAGGCGATTTTGGTTATCCGCCAGTTCGTGTAACTCGGCGACATATCGCAGGAGACGTAGGCGCTGGTATATGGCTCGTCCCAAATGACCAAGCTTCCCTCTTCTCCTCCTGCAATGAGCCGTCCTGTGCGGGAAAAGGCTACCGCGGAAATGTATTGGATTTTGTCTTTAGCCGTCAGAGAGTGTCGCAGAGAGCCGGATTTCGTGTCGAAAATATACACATTGGACCCTCTAGTGGCTAATGCTAGGAGTGTATTCTGATGGTTGAAAGCGAATTGAATGTTAATGCGGTGAGTCAATAGAAAATCGAATTCGTCGTCGGCCCATTGGTCCATTTGGACGCCGGACAAGGTGAGATGGGAGAAGTCTGCGGTGTTCACCAGAACAAATTTCTGATTTAGAACACCAATGGCAAACGTACTGTCCGATGAAAAGCCCCATGGCAACCTCCTATATCCCACAAAGGACGACCTGCCTGCGAGGCTCAGTTTGGGAGAACCGCTTTCCGTGTCCCATAGTTCGAGTCCCTCACCTTGGCCACCTGCGACGCTAGAGCCACATAATCGGCCGTCCGGGGAAAACATCAGACCCCTTGTCGGTGGTAAAGGTTGTTGCTCGCGGTCTGACTGGGGCCAAGACAACACATGCCCATCCCATATACTGATCAGACCGTTACTAGACGCACAAGCGATGAATTCTCCGGAAGGCGAGAACGTGAGTGATTGGGCTACAGAGCTGCTATAATCTCCCGGCCTCTTGAATTGTCCTTCTACGAGTATCGCGTTCCCCGTTGCAAGGTTCGTATCGAAAAGTTCCTAAAAAAAAGCTTGTTAGTGAATTTGTTTGGAAATTGGCTTTTCAGGACAGATCCGGGGTTGGGGGGGAAAGCAAAAAGGAGAGGGGAGTTCTACATCTAGACCCAAAACCGCAATAGAATGCCGGAAACACAATGCTATTGTCTTGTCGTCTGGTGAAATAGCGACTGCTTTTATACAGTCGTGCTTGCTTATCAAATGTATCACCTGCGCGCTCGTTTCCGACTCCCAATCCGACGCATGTTTCCACAAGGAAACGCCGGACATAGCATGCACGAGACTAGTAAACTTGAACCAGTGGAGGGAAGCAAGTACACTTCCACGCGGGGAAAAGACGACAGACTCTATATAACCTAAGCCCTCGAAGTGCAGATCCCTCTCTTCAAGGAGCTTATCCTTCTCTCTGAAGAGGAGGGATCCCTCTTCGAGCTGGAATCGTCGGTCCAAACGGATGGACTGCGTCTCCGTGTCATAAAGAGTCAGGCTAGTAGGGTAGTTGCCTCCTATGGCTAGCCTGCGGCCATCTGGTGAGAAGGCTAGACGAGGAACGCTGTTCATTTCCGGCAACCTGATCTCTCCCCGGAGGTCTCCGCTGATGGAATCCCACAGCCCGATGAGGTAGTCTGCTGAATCGTGGGTGATATTCTCCTCGATGAACGCCATAGCGATGATCCTCCCATCAGGAGAAAACGACGCGGTAAAAACGGTAGACGGGATGTCGATGCAACAGCGTAGGCTATTGGTCTCCGCCTCCCTCACGTTAATCTTGTTCTCGTTTTCGGGAGACACGGACGCCACTAGATCGCCGTGATTTGAAACTGCAATCTCCTCCTCATGCAACTCGAAGGATCTGGCAACCCTCCCGTCCTCAGTATACCACCGCAAAATGTTCCTGCCTCGGTCAGAAGTCGCAAAGATGGTGCTTCCATCTTTCGAGAAGCCCAGGTGTTTCGAAAAGTACGGTCTCTTCCCAAAAAAGGACGCGCTCAGAGGGACGTCTCCCGTATGGCTTTCGCGACATTCGCCCCAATCGTAGCTGGCTTTGTTGATTGAGTACAAGTAAGGGCCCCAGTGTTCCCCGAATGCAGATCCAGATTCATTCATTATTACTCTGACGCAGCACGACGAGAGGACCCGTTCCCGAAAGTTTTGACGAGCCAAAGATCTCGTCGGCGAGAAAAACATGGCCAGAAAGTATGCCTGGGGAGGGTCGTGCTCAACGATGTCCTTGTACTGAAGGAGAAACCGGAACGAATCATACAACAGACCTTGCAGCGATGCCTCGGCCTTGGTGCTCGTTTCCGACTGCCCTTGCAATACCCGGGGCTCCGATGTCTCGTTGGACACAATTGATCCGGTTGACAAATTCGACGCTTTCGACAGCCTTCGGATCGGATTTATGCAATGCGATAATTCCCTCAAGTACGCCGTCCTTTCTACCCATGGGAGGAAATGTTCTCGGAGGAAGTCTTCGACCGTTGCTTTTGCATCTTCTGAGAACTGACCCCCAGCTTCGATGGCATGAGAGATCCAATAAACGTACGGGTACGCTGTGTCGTGAAACCTTTTGATTTCGCCGTCTGGTGGCCGCCTATAGACAACGGAATTGATGTCAGGGAACTTGCGAATCTCTGAGGTTGAGCGGATGGCAGCAATACAACGCCGAACAATCGCGTCATGGATTAAAGGAACTGGAGTCGACCAAAACGCCTGTCCAATATCGTTGTTTTCTGTTGCTGCTGCTGCTGCTGTCCCTGTCCCTGTCGCTGTCCCTGTCGCTGTTGTCGTCGTTGCTAACGTCATGAGGTAGTCCTTGGCTGACCTGTGAAAGATGTGAACTTTGCCACTTCGAAGGTCCAGGAAATGACCGCATTGGCGGATGAGTTCAGTAATCACAGGCATGTCGTTCTGTTCATCGTCGTGGCCGTCGTCCTGTTCGTCGGCATCGTCATCATCGTCGTAGTAGTGGTCGTCGTAGTGGTCGTTATCATCGCCGTACCACTGATCATTGTCATCGTCATCGTCGTCGTCGTCGTCGGGCGTGGCGGCGGCCTCCGGAAGATCGGCGACAATCGCTAGTTCCTCTAATCCGAGGGGCCGCTTCGCGAGAAGCACGACGCGAAGTATCTCCTGACGCCGTTTATTTCCGTCGCCCTTATCTTTCTTCATAAGTCGGCTCATCATAAAGTTATATGCCCGAGAGAGCTCATCGCTGTAACCGCCCTGCTTTAGCCTCTTCAGCCGTTCGAGGACTTTCGGTTCCGGGAGGTGCCGAATCTCCTTCCAAACGATGGCGACGTAGATGTACGTGCTCTCCGCGCGTTTCCGGAGAAAGCCACGCACGATTTCCTGCGTAGATTTATTCCATTTGCGCCGAGTTCGGCCGTTCATGACCTGTTGGATGAACTTATGCACGCCGTCGCGCACATCTTTCAGTATGTCTAGGTTTATGGCCAACCTCTCTCTCCCCGGCCCTATACGACTGTCGAATTCGTCCGAAAAGCGACTGGTAAAGAGCCACTTGACAGAGTAGGGACAAGACCCGAATTTTTCGCGTTCGACCCAGTCGAGAAAGTCACGAAGGTCCTCCCCGTCCCGACACTCGTCGAGTGCGTCTACCACAAAATATACCGACTTAGACGACTCAAGTTGGAGGTTTTTGAGCATGTCCAATAAATCAACCCAAAGATTCTTTAACGGAGCTTTCTCAACGTCCTCTGGCGATTGGTATTTGTCTCGCAGCAACTGCATAACAAGATGCCGCTGTTTCAATGCCAGGCCACGGATGAGCCCTCGCAGAACCGAAATGGCCGTATTCGCTTTGTCGTTCATGTTCTGGCAGAAGAAGTGGAAGACATGTGGATCTCGTGATCGATTGTAAAGTTCGTCGACTAGCCCGAGAGCCATGACGGTTTTCCCCTTCCCAGGACCGCCATGTATCCAGAGTAGTTGAGTACCACGGCTTTCCGACCACTTTTCAAAAGTGGAATGGGTAAGGATCCAGTTCCAGCATTCGTCGATGGTCCGACCAGGGACAGATTTCTCAGCATCTGTCTTGAGTTCCCCAGGGTCGACTTGGAGGGCCCGGAGGAAAGCGCTCTCGTCCGTACTAGGTGCGCTATTATTGTTCGCGGTTGTGTTATAATTGTTCGTGGTAGCAGTGTTGTTGAAGGCTGAGAGAATCAATTAGTATTTTCGCTCCCTCTTTCCAGAACAACGCGGGTGTTGGGCTGTCAAGGTTTCGGCCTACTAAGATTCGATACATCCCCATTCAACATGTCAGTCCTGAACCCATAGTCTCTCTGGGCCGAAGCCGCTGTCGATGATTCGGCCATGATATTGTTTCCACGGCCGGACTGGTTCCTTGGGTGAAATCCCAGGGGTATGGTCCCGAGTGTCATGCCTATACCTAGGCCAACTCGTCGGTAACGTTCTGGTCGAACAGTTGCTTAGGACGGAGAGGAAATGCTGTCCTCCCACAGTCTGGGTTGAACCTTGAAGCGCCCGTTTCTCATTTGTGTAAGTTGGGCTGCCTGGGCTGTCTTTGGTTGCCTTATTTTCGCCTCGCCCCCTTCATCTTCAAGACGAACGTACTTCGTAGTGGGTCGCAAGACGGCCGGCACAGCAGGGTCCAAAGACAATGGTATTGGTCAAGACGACACAGCCCGCAGATGCTGGCCAATGCTGCCAACTGCAGGGCATTGTTATTGGCGGGGTGTGTGTTTCCAGTTGGCCCTTTCACCGGCCGTAGGGCGTTCTCGCCTTGGAACCTGATGCAAAGACCAGCTCGATGTGCACTACCCCGCTCTCAGGATGCCTCCCTTATCAATGCATCATGCAATGCCTGATGTATAATCCATTAAAATGGGAGGGGGGCCCGAATCTTCCTTGGCAAGAAGCAGCGAAGAAACGAAGCAACGACTTCGAACAGAAGACATAGTTTCTTCGAACCGATATTCAGGCGCAGCTGGAACGCCATGGAAGCCGTCTCTGCGATCAGCTCACTGGTGCCGACCATCATTCAAGAATTTGGTGCCATCCAAGTCGCTCGAGGTTTCCAACATGATTTCAAGCTGTACCAGCTCAGACTCGACATGGCCCAGCTCCGGCTCTCTCGATGGTCCACAGCCGCAGGGCTTCCCCTTGAGAACGAAGGGGAAAACACCGGCACCTCGTCCCCCGAAGGTGATCCGGCAAGCACTGCAATATCAGACCTCGAACAAGCCGAAATCTTCCTCGAGCATATCAGGGATGCGTTGATAAAGGCAAAGAACGAATCAGAAAAGATGAAACCAAGGAACGCAGACGACGCCCCCTTCCCGAACGACCGATTCGGGCGCCTCCAAAGGAAAGTCCGCGGTCTGGTGGTGAAGAGGTGCCGTAAGACGGCAACCCAGGTTTCGGGTGTGAAGTGGGCATTGTACAAGACAGAGCAATGCGAGGCCCTCATCACGAACATCTCGGAGCTCATCGAACAACTCGAGAAGCTGGTCGAGCCGCAGAGCAAGCTCGAGGAGCTCACCCGGGAGGAATGTGAAGAAATGTCTGGGGAACTCATGACAATATTGGACGTTATCAGAGACTGTGAAGTCTGTGATCCTTACCTGCTCGCGGCGGCGACGCAGGCTCTCGAGGAGAAGAAGGCCACCTTGCAAAATACCAATGTGTCAGCGGGAACGAATTATGGGATGATGGTGGGACGCCATAATGGGAACGTAAATGGAGTCCAGATCAGGAACACCACGATCACCAACGGCTCGTATTACTCTGGGAAGGGCTATACCGCAAACCATGGACCGGGGGGTGGTCGGGCTTGAATAAGCATCTTGGTTCTGTCCGTGTGTTGGAGTGCGTGAGTCGTGTTGGTTAAGGTATAAGAAGGGAGGGAGGAGGGTTGATATTTGTGCCTACCCTTAGCTGGACTCGCACAGCGTTTGCATACCTTAGGTACCTTACCTTGTAGGTACCTTACCTTGGGTAGCCTTGTCGTCATCCATTTGTCAAGTATGACTGCCAGATGCTGTACATTATATGTGACTGTACGAATACCGAGCAATACTATCCGTGACTCCGTGGAATGGCGTCCTCTCGGAATAAGAATGGGGGGAGGAAGGACCTGGAAGGTAACTTGTTGGCAATCGAGGTCTTGGGACGTGTGGAGGATAAGGGGGCAACCACGGTATTTAGTACCTTTGTGGCTCGTGCGGGGTGTCCAAGTCGGTCGTCCTTGCCCTTGATGCCCCTAAAAGGAGGACTGTTCGTACAAAGTCGCGCAGCTACAATGGAGACGACGCGCTGGTAATTACCAGGTACGTCTTGACTGTTCTGATAATTTGGTGCGAAGAGTTTATTTACCTCACGATACCAGGTACCTACTGTAGGTGGCAGCGTTTCAGGAGCTCTTAGTCCGGAATTTCGGGGGAATCGGCCCCGTAACGGCCCCACTAATGGTACCTCCACTGTACCTCGACTTCAGTTGCCTTCTTACAACTCGATCTCACAACGTTCGTCAGCACCATAAAATTTCCCAACTTCACCTCATACCTCGTCTTCTTGAAAACCTGCAGACCAGTCAAACTCAAGTTGAAAACAGCAACAAAACAACAGGATTACGTCCGGTGACCAGACCAAGCTACCCACTCTTCGGCAACATCAACACCCCAACCCACCAGCCATCATGAACCCCCCAGACTCCACAACCAGGAACCAAAACGAAACAGAAGACGACCAAGACGACCAAGAAGAAGAAGAAGAAGAAGAAGAAGAAGAAGAAGAAGAAGAAGAA